CCTCGGCACAGTTTGATGTCCGCTATCTAGCCACCAATGCGGAACAATACAATCGCCGGCACACAAGCATCGTGAAGCATGCACGGATTGTGACTGATTTGTGTCTGCGTATCATTAGGTAAGGGATATATGTTTACAATAATTTCTCGCTATCATACGGTTTTCGAAAATGGTTCCATTTTTTCATGAACTTAACGTTTAACTTCAAACAGAGAAGCGGATGAAATAGACGTGGCGGCCGTTTATCACCAACTAGTGGACGTTTATCACTCCTCAGAGTCAGAAAACGAAGCTGATTCGGATGTTGTACCATCGACCAGCACCGGTCCAACCACCTCAGCAGCTGCTGCCCGCCAGCGCGTTTCGTCCACTCGACGGCAAGCATAATAAACCTTATTAATTAATATTTAAAAATTAAAGTGAATTGATTGCAGGTCGACTCGTATACGCTCCGACGGCGACTGGCGCTCTGATTGCCGGCAACTATTGGATATGATGTGGCAGCGGCCTGATTCATTACCATTTCGTGAACCAGTGGATACAATTGAGTTTCCGGATTATTTGGAAATCATTGCCACACCGATGGATCTGCGTACAGTCAAAGAGGATCTACTGGGTGGCAATTACGATGATCCATTAGATTTTGCCAAGGATGTGCGCCTTATATTCCTCAATTCTAAGAACTACAATACCAACAAACGCTCACGGGTGAGTCCCCTGGCTGGATCTGGGTACTGCTACAGATCGTCATTTATTTCAAACCAATGCCAAACACGCATCAAGCGCAATTGTCATTGAAGTTAATCTTATTGTGATTTTGTTGCTTTCTTTTTGGGTATTATGAGCCTTAATAATAGCTAAATGGATAAACAGATAAATTAATTAATTCGATTTGAAATGCAGAAGAATAATTTGATTAAATCACCAAACAAATTATTTAGATATTCTACAAGCTTACCAAATATATATGAATATTTGTTTTACTTTTTTTATATGTATATTATTACTTTTATAAAAAAAAAGCATAAACTAAATTTTTTATGTAAGCCAATTATAAGCTATCTTTATGAAGTTTGGCATTGACCTCATTTTTCGAGGTAGACGGGAAAGGTTAACTAAACCTTAAAGTTACCATAGGAATAATCGGTCTTTAGCTGTATAAAAAACCTTTGTTTTGAAAGATATCTTGACCAAACTTTTATATCATGAGTTTTGATCGCGTGTATCGAGAGTAGAGAAAATTAGAGTATTATATGGCTCAGATTACCACTAAATCGTGCTTCTTCCTGCGTTCTGTAAAAATAATCTTCAACGATCTAAAAAATAAATTTTCTTTATTTTGTTTATAACTATTTTATTTTGTATGGGCTAGTTTCTATCTTACTGCAGTTACATTTACATATTAATTTCTGTCTCTTTTGGATTTCACAAAACTCCCGTACTGTTTAATATAAATAAAGATGGGATTTAAATAGCACCGACACAAAATAATTATGTTGTTCCTAATTTGTTATTTAAAATTGGTTTTTAAATAAGTAGAAATTCGATTTGTTTCGTTATATATCCTATTTCCCGCACTGCTAACACCACACAAGCTCACACACCAGCTCATCTCTTCTTAACGTTTCTTTTGCAATTTGTTAACATGCCTTCAAACTTCAAAAATTAACTACCACCCAACTCATAAACCATCAATCGAATCACTCGAATCAATCCAAACCCATCAAATATTTCGAACTAAACCAAATGAATGACGATCCGTGACAATCAACTAAAATAGGATAACTTAGCGGTAAGGTTGCTCTTGGGCTACTACTTCTACATAACTCAACTCCCATTGATTCGATTTAATTCTGGAGCTCATCTCACTAATTGCTCTCATCACTTCTATTACAGATCTATGCAATGACATTGCGTCTAAGTGCCCTCTTCGAGTCGCACATCAAGACGGTGGTTAGCAGTTGGAAGGCGGCGCGCAGACGCGCCAACAAGAACAAGTCCGGCAGCAGTGGACGCGGCTCTAGTAGCCCCAGCAAGCGAACGCCTACGGATCGCACCACGCGGCGCACACAAAAGCCGCCTGGCGCTGCCAGAAGGCTACCAGCGCACACGAGCGAGGAAGATGAGGACGACGACGATGATGATGACGATGATAGTGTCGCGCCGCAGCAGCAGGTGCCGCGTGGCACTCAGCGCGGCAGCAGGCGTCGCAATGGCGTAGCCGTTAGTGCCACAATTTCGAGCTCTAATCGTGTGACATCATCGTCGTCTAATCCGCAGCAGCGACGCCACGAGAGCAGCAGCAATTCAGACAGCGATGAGGAAGAAGAGGAGGAGGAAACAACCTCGGATGCTAGCAGCGATGACAATGAGGATGAGGAAGCGCACTCCAATGGCAGCTCGCCGCAGCAGACACGTCGCCGCCGGGGTCGGCTAGCGCGCCAGAATGTCAGTGATGATGAAACCAATGCCAACGACTCGGAAGAGAGCTACAACCCTAACGAGCGGCGACGTGGTCGTGCAGGCGGTGGTGGGGGCAACAAGCGCAAACCCAACAGCCGGCTCCACCACAGCAACAAAAGACATCGATTGGATCAGACTGTTCAGCCTGGTGGCAGTCGTGGTGCTACTGTGGCGCCCACGCGTCGCACACGCCGCTTGCTAGGCAGCTCTGAGGACGAACATCAGGCGGAAGCCTCTCATTCCCAACCAGATGATAGCACTCAGGACAGTCAGACACCGCGCAAGAAAGGTCGACCAGCGAAAAACAAGAGCGCAACGGCTACTGGAAATGGGCCGGGCACTAGTGCGGCTGCTGTATCAGCCGGATCTAGCCTTGAGAGCCCCTCCCGAATTACGCGCGCCAATGGCGGACGATCACAGAATGCTGCCGAAAATGATCACAGCTATCATCTGCCCGTTCGTAATGGTCGCATTATTGATTCGGATACAGATTCACATGGACCAGTAGGTCGACCCACAAGGCAGAGCGCAAAACGTGCGCTCATGGATTGGGCACGCGGCAGTGATATCGAAGAGGAGGAGGACGATGAAAGCGAAGAGGCTGAAGAGGTGAGTTAATGAAAATATAATATTATAATATATAAAACAATAACATGTAACATGCAATTTTAACCTAGATTCTACCCACGCCCACGAAGGACGACATGCCGTCGACTAGCCGGGCTGCCTTAGGTCAAGTGGCCAGTGCAGCCATATCAGCACGTCAGCTGCGCACAAATCGCAATACCGTGGTAACAGCTGCCGCAGAAAGCGACGATGATGATGACAGTGATAATGAGCCGTTGGCTAATAACCAGCAAAGTAAATTACAACAAAATTTCCTTTGAATTTTGCAGTTGAAATACATTTTTATATTTTCATAGAAACTGCCACTGGACCTGCGAAGACCAGCACATCAGCTCCTCATCCGTTGACATTGCGTCGCCGTTTACCTTCGGTACCACGAAGCATGCATATGACGCGCTCGCACGCTACATCTACTACCAACAGTTCCAATCAGCAGGAGCCGCCAATGGCTGCGCACGATCACAACTATTTGGGCAGCGAGTCAGCGGCGGCCTCGCGTGCCCCTCGGCGCGTATTATCACGTCATCAGCGCAATGCGGATGAATTGGACACAACTAATGATCCGCTGAATAGTTCTCGTTTGCTGTCCATATTGTCTAATCACAGACGTCCCACCTCCACAACAAACAGTGTAACAACGCGACGATTGCGCTCTCGTAACAGTCAGGAGCATTCGCAGGGCGAAGAGGAAGACGAGCCAGCGGCGGAATTGCCTGATGGAGAGGAGGCCGCTGCGTCAGACGAAGGCACCGATGGCGGCTCCAGCTCTCAGGGCAGCAACGACGACGATGATGATGAAGAACCAACTGCCACAGACTCTGAAGACAATCAGCCCCTAACCAGCTACGTATCGCCCAGCAATGGACGCACATCACGTAAAACCAAAACTTCTTCCTCATCGGCAGCGACCGCAACACAGGGACGTGAACAGCGCCAACGTCGTCAGCTTCGTGCCACCTCTGATCAGTCCTTTAACGATGACGATGATGATGATTATGAGGCTCCACGTGGTCGACCTAATAGGCTACGAAGCAATCAGCGCAGCGGTCGCAATCAGAAACGTCCGCGCTACAATGAGCAATCAGATGAGGACGATCAAAATCTGGGGCACAGTCAGCGTAAGCGCTTACGCAACGGCGATGTTCAAACGGCGACTAACAACAACAATAGCTCACAAGAACGTGAGGATCAGCAACGCACGGAGGATGGCAACAGCAGCACGGCGGAAAGTGACGAGCAACTGGTGAGCGTCAGCAGCCGGGGACGCGTGCGCAAGATATCAGCAAAGGCGCGTGGCATATTTAAGGATTGAAATTGGGCGCCCAGCTGCGCTGCGCTCAAGACTGTTTTATGTATAAATTAATTATAGTCGTATGAGCAAATAACATTTTTCTATCATTTGCTTCTTATTATTGATTAATGTGTAAGAGTAATTCATTGTCATTGTAATACGTCAGGTGTCCTTTGTACCGCCATCCACACCCACTACTAAGCCCTTCCCAGGATAGGCTTAAGCAAATTGTGTTCTCATTTAATCATATTCACTATATATAACACAGATCCCAAAAAATTGTCATGCTTTGTTCAAGAATTTAAGTTCTTATTCTTTGTGGCACGCTTTCCAGTCTTTGCCGCTACACATTTCCATGTAGCTGCGCCTCTGGCTGCTGCCGCAAAAAAACTGTATGTATTTCTATATATATATAATATACATATATTTAAATAAAAGTAGCATTCAAGGATCACACACTTCATTTAAAATAGATTATAAAATAAAGTATCAACAAAAACAGATCTACTTTAGTTGTCGTTAATGTGTGGGCGATGATCCAGTAACTATATCTATTTTCCAATTTACTCAAATTGAATTATCTCTCTGTTCAGATAGATACAATTAAAAGCGGATTAACTTAATTTTCGACACTATTTAAGCGTTTTATTTTGACTCTGAACATATTGTTCGGCTAGCTGTTTGACCCGTGCCGCATTTGCCTCCGTACCGTGCTTCATCTCAAAGTCCAGATACTTCTTGTAGATGACAAGCATTTTGTCCGGCTGCAACTTTTGAAGAACTGCGCGTTCGAGTACATTTCTTTAAATAAAAAAATTAGCCGGGATTCAATTTGATTTCAATTGGATTCAATCTGATTTACTTACCGTGCGGATTCAATTAGTTCCGATTTTATTAACATATCTACGTAAAGGACCCAAATATCAATTCGCTTTGGATATGAGGTGACAATATCATCCAGCAAAGTTTGCGCCATGGCATTATCATCGTTCTGGGCATACAGTTTCGCAAAGGCCACAATGCAATTGATGTCTGCGGATAAAAAGGACCAAATTCAATTTTTTTATGACTAGGTATAATACTAAGTCCATAGATATCGAGAAAATCTAAAACTCATCATTTCAAAATACCTTTGTAGCACTCGTAGTTTTACATCACAATAAATTTGTATCCCCCGTCAGTTGAGATGATAGCGGATAAACCGTATATACCGGCCCAAGTTTTGTGTTTCAATTTGCCGTGGCAAATTTAAATCAACTCGTCTAAAGTTATATTTTATATAGATACATATATGTATTTGAATTGAATTCATGTCCCCAAAACCCCATTTTAAAGTGCATCTCCACATAAGGTCACTACAGTAAAAATTTCAGCAATCAGTTAGGAAAAATATGAACTTAAGAATGCTAAAGTCGAGTGTGCTCGACTACAAGATTCCCTGTAATAATAGAATTTTGGAGGAGGCATTCGAAAAGTGAAATATTCTTAATGTGGGTACTATATGATATTTGAAAACGACGAGATATCGACGAAAAATTACATTATTAAATTTAAAATCTCCGGTTTTGCAGTTTGCCAGACCAATCCGTTTCTACAGACGGACATGGCTAAATCGACTCAGGTCATCGTCCTGATCAAGACATGTCTCCCTCTGCCTGTTATACATTTTACATTTGCACAAAACCAATATACACCCTTTTTTCCATTTTCAATAAGTAAAGGGTAAATTTATAATTGCTGTTCAGTACTTACGTTGATTTTTGGGTAAAACGCTTAGCGCACGCTGCAGCGTAGGCTGCACACGGTCCGCCATTCCCAGCCAGAAATAAGCATCGGCAGTTACACGCCACACCTGTGGCTCCGATCTAAACTTGCGCGTTATTAGATTTAATGTGCTGACGAGACGTTCCCTAAGATTGTGCGACTTGAGCACTTCGACAAGGTTTAGGTAGGTTTCAAGCGGATCGTTATGGCTAAGTGCCTCCTTTAACACATCGTCAAAATTGGATGAATTGTAGCTTAGCTCCAGGTTGATTAGTGCAGTCCATATATTGCGCAGTTCTTTGGTCTCGCGAAATGCTATTGTTTTAATGGCGCGTCGTGCAATGTCTCGTGCTTTATCCACCTCTGTATTTGAGAGGAGGAAGGACATGTACTGGATCCAGGACTTGCTGCTGTTGGGCTCGGCTAGTACCAGACGTTCGAACTGATCAATTGTTTCTGGGCGTTGATTAGGATCAGCATTGCGCTCCTCGATCTCGCGCAAGCGCTGTTCCTCCTTCACTTCTGCCTTAGCCTTTTCCTTGGCACTAAGTCGTTTTTTCTTGCTAGAGTTCGCCTCGGCCTCGGCTGCTGCATTGTCGTCATCCTCATCGCTGGATGTGTCCTCTGGCCGCTTGCCATTTAATGCGCCGAGGTCAGTCTCCCAGAAGCTCGAGATGCCCGGCAGACGTATCTTGGTCGCAGTATCATTTGCTGCATTGCATTTGAGCACATTGGCCTTTGCAGGGATTTTATCCTCGAAGAAAAGCTGTGCCTCCGTTTGCTTGCCATTATCTAGCGGCTTAATTTCAGCTTTTTTGTCATTTTTTAATTTATTTGCGTTTGATTTGGGTGCTGTTTTAGCTTCCATCTTGACTTTTTTCGACTTAACGGGTGTTTCTTCTTCAGCATCGACGGCGGCTGCACGTTTTACGCCCTTCCACAGCTTCCAGACGGTCTCTGGCACAGCAATTGGCAGCTTGTCGTGTATAAATGCAAGGTTACAGAAATCGCCCTGGCGCAGACAAGCACTGGCAGAGCTATCAACATCGTTGGGATGCAGGCGTACCGGACAAAATATCAACGGATTGCTGGCACCCTTTTTTAGTGAGCACACCACAATGCTGTCTAATTTAAGCAAAACTTTGGCCTTCATGCCCGACTTGGCGATTAAATTTTGCGGAAGCTCTTTGCTGCTGCTGATGTGTTCAATATCCATCTTCTTATTGCTTATGAGGAGCATATCGTTGGCGTAGTCGATCCACAAAATAACGGCTTGTTGTTTGCTGCCCACCTGGGGCGCCGTCGCTGTGCCTGCCAAGCTGCCAATTATCAGTGCAGTTATATTCTTGGAGCCATCCAAGTGATACACCCAATTGTTGGTCGTCGGATCAATGCCCTTGAAAATGACATCAACTTTATCGCCCATACTATGCTTGGCAATGGGCGCATTCAGTACTTTCAATTTATTTCGAATCTGTGATACTTCGTCCAGATAACTGTAAGGATTTAATTTAGGTCAGGGATGTAAGCAATTGAACAGTTTTATCCTCATACCTTTCCACCCGGTTTGCTGTCTCAGTGAGCTGGCCACTCCACACATCTGAAAGCTTGGCAGACACGGTCAACGTTTTGGTCTCCAACTCCTTGCTGAGCACCTTGACGTACAGAAGCTGATCCGGCGCCAGCATGATGGGCACTTCTCGCGCGGTTTGTGGGCACAGCATCTTTACGTGCAACTTGACCAGTTTATTGTAATTACGTACGGGTACCAACAGCTCCAGAACCTGCTCGCTTGCATGCTTAACATGGGCGCGGAGTACATCGCCCACTTGCACTGTGTGCCAATCCTTGGTAAGGTTCTCACTGAAATAGGACACATCGCGTAAACTAAAAATGTTCTGCATGATGCAGGCGGCTTCGGTGTGTGTCCCGACAGGATGAGTGCGTTTTTGTGCATCCTGTAGATCCACATAGTCTGATAGAAAACGCACTGGCATCAGACCGACAAACTCCTCGGTAGACTCCTCGGCACCTGTCATTGATTCATCCTGTTCATCGCTAGCATAGGTAATTTTGATTTCCAGACCAGCATCTAATGCATTTGTCACTTCAATGGGACATATTTCGCCAAGCTGGAACTTTTCCTCGGGCAGTGTTAAGAGTACCTGATCATTATTGCGTCCAGCAATCCGAAACTTCGTAGTTTGACCGGCGAAAAAGGTGCTCTCAATTAGTTCGTTCAGGCGCTGTTTGTGCAGCACTCCCTTGATGCCGCTACAGAACTTGACGAGTACATAGCTGGGCTCACACTTGACCACGGTGCCAGTGAAGAGACTACCAGGCTGAGCCGACTGCAGCGAGGTAAGCAGTTTAACGCTCTTGTTAAGATACTCGTTCCGATTGCTTAAATAACAAATTTTACGATCCAGGCAAATATCCAAAACACGGCAGCGTAGACGTTGTCCCACCTCATACCGCATATTTGGCGCCAGATGCAGCTGCTCAATGATCCCGTTGACTTTCCCAATTTTAACATTGTAGCCGCCAATTTTGGACTCAGGCTTTACAATACGAGCTTGAACAATATCGCCCGCTTGAAGATCCTCCAGTGTGTACAACTTCTCGTTTAATATATTGGCATCGTCGGTGCAGTAGTAGAGTGACTCGATGACATCATATCCAAGCACACGCACCTTATGCTTGCTCTTGCTACTGTACTTTGCCAACACAACGTCCTGGTCGTAGTTTCCCTTATGGTTCGACTTAATGGAGCCATACGAAATCAGACCCTTATGTTTGTGGTTGAGGAGCAGTACGATACCGCCTGTGCCATGGCGCAGCACGCGTGCTTTCTCCACAATGCTGCCCTTCTTTAGGAGTTCCTGCTGCTCATCATCTTCCATTGCCGTCATTTCAGTTGTCACGTTGATGTCCAAATTAAGGGTCAAATATACCAACTTGGTCAGGGGCATCACGTAGAGCACCCGCGCCAGGTACTCCTCGTTAAGCTCATAATCTGGTGGCGTGTGCAGTGCCTCTGCCAAATGATGCTCATTCACGTAGCCTCTAAACGATTCGTTCATAATGCTCCCCTCCAGTCCATTCTTAAGATGTTTTATTACCTTAAACTTTACAATGCTACCAGGCAGAATGTAGTCGAGGTTGGTTTCGTTCTGGCTTTTAATTTTCAACTTGTCCTGATCCAAGCGCACACACTGGCAGGTACTCTTTGCGGAACTGTGCTGAATTTGCTTGACTTTCAGGAAGATCAACTGGCCAATGTGATGCTGTTGTGCCGCGTCTGCGATGGGAACAAATGCCTGTAGCCCCTCAATGCCGGTTTCGATCACACAGCCGTGCTCCTGGATTTCCTCAATGGCGCCAGAGAAGATGAAGCCCTTCTTGATGCTGGCGTGGTGCAAGCTACTGTTCACTTCTGCGGGTTTAAGTGACAGTAACAGTGACATCCGATTCCTTTCCGGTATCTCTGTTTTTATGGCGCGCCCATAGACAATCTGTCCCACGCTGAACAACACAGTCAGATCGTGATATTCACTGCCATCGCCGGCCATATAGGATTGGGCCACACGTGCATATGCATCGGATATATCGGCCACTAAAGCGCGAGCTGTCATGCGTCCGGGCAATGCTATTTGTATTGAGGTGGCGTCCGCTGCTTTTACAACTCCCATCACCAGCATTCGGTCCCGAAGTGTGTCATATGTGAGCGTTTCCGCGGAGAACGCTTGCAGTTGGTCACTGTGCTCACCATCTATTTGCTTTTCCTTTGGCTTGGGACCTTTCTTTATCTTTCGCTGTGAGGCACCAAAAACCTGCAAGCCGCAAACCTCTAAATTTAGAACTAAGATACCCTTTTCTGTTTGTACTTACGATATTCGATGGGCTGCTTTCGGCATTTGCTTGTAAATTTGCTATTCCGCCGCGCGGAAAGCTTTTTTCATTTGAAACCATTGCAAATAGTATTAAAGCGTTAAAAATTTAAACAAGAAACACCGCAACGTGCCCTGTACAGTGTACACGTGCTGGACACTTTAAATACAAATGCTAAAGTAGTGCTGTACAACGTTCCATGGTTAAGTGCTGGTAAACTTAAAAGGCGCAACATGTGTAGAAAACAGTATGATGATTAATATTTATTAAACACGATTGCGAATTAAAAATTTAACGAGGATTAAAAACTGCAACAACATAATTTTCCTCTAATTATTAAATCTTTATTTAACAAGTATATGCTATTGTTTATTTGGTATGCGGCATGTGGCGTCCACATTAGTATCGACACAGCTGCTTGAACGTGTGTGGGTCCCTTTATTCCGGCACGCATGTGAATTGTGTTAATTTTATTTTGTTACAAAAATGCAAACGTTACGGGAATTTACGCGGAAAACAAAACGCGGTAATATATTAAAAATTGTACGAGAGCATTATCTACGTGATGACATTGGTTGCGGCTCAGATCTTTGCCAGTATTGCTTTCAAAACGAGGTCTACCAATTGACGTCGGAGCACGACATCAAGAGCAGCATTTTCAAATTTCCACACTACATTGTTTTGGATACCAACGTGGTTCTGGATCAAATCGATGTCCTTGAGGAGGATGTGCTCCACAATGTAATCGTGCTCACCACGGTACTGAACGAAGTGAAACACAAGAGCTCATCCATCTATAAGCGTCTCAATGAGATTATTCACGATCGCACGCGCAATTTTTATGTGTTTGTCAATGAGCATCATAAGTAAGCCCCGTCGATTGGGTACTTAACCAAAATGATTCCAATTTACACTTTCCAGGGACACCTATGCCGATCGCGAGCCAGATGAGAGCGCCAATGATCGCAATGACCGCGCCATTCGCTTGGCTGCCAAATGGTACGATACCCATCTGCATACCTCTCAGGCATCCAAGACCTTTCAACGTAGCGGACGCACAGCCACACGTGTAGTGCTGCTCACCGACGATGCTGTCAATCGCGCCAAGGCCGAGGCCGAAGATATTTTGGTAGCTAGTGCGGTAGATTATGTTAAATCGCTTGAAGACTTTCCACTGCTGGTCGACAAGCTGTCCCAGAAAACATTTGAAAATGAGAAACAAGCGCTGCCCCAATATCCACCGCATTTGAGCGTGAAGGAGCTGCTTGAGGGCTTGCGACACAAAAAATTACTGCAAGGCTCGTTCCAGGCATCTAGGGAGAACTATCTCGAGGGCAATGTCAATGTGGAGAGCTATGAAAAAGGCGTAAGTCTTTCGTTCTAAATCCTAAGTGCTTAGTGGAATGACATTGTGATGAATAAAGCGACTATCATTCCAAGGCTTACAATCAATAACATTACTGTGAAAAAAATTGAATTCTTGGACTAAACTATTACCCTTCTATAATTCACAGATTTTAATACAAGGCCGCGAGTCGCTTAACCGCGCCGTAGACGGGGATATTGTTGCCGTTGAACTGTTGCCTGAATCCGAATGGTCAGCGCCCAGTGAGATTGTGTTGGAGGAGAAAAATGTGTATGCCGATGATGTGCCCAGCGAGGAGCGTGTTGAAGAGGAGAAGGAAATGCTGCAACAAGTGCAGACCGCACCAGCTACAGAGCGCACACCCACCGGTCGCATTGTGGGAATTGTGCGTCGCAAGTGGCGTCAGTATTGCGGCATTTTACAGCCCAGTCTGATTGAGGACACTACACGACATATTTTTGTGCCCGCCGATCGCAAGATTCCGCGCATACGCATCGAAACGCGCCAGGCAGCGAAGCTGCAAAACCAACGCATAATTGTGACCATTGACAGCTGGCCGAGGAACTCGCGCTATCCGCAAGGGCATTTCGTGAGATCGCTAGGCCCTCTGGGGAACATGGCCACGGAGAACGAGGTGATATTGCTGGAACACGATGTGCCGCACTGCAAGTTCTCCGAAGAAGTGCTCAGTTTTTTACCCAAAATGCCCTGGACCATTACAGAGGAGGATTATGCCAAGCGGGTGGACTTGCGCGATTTGTATATTTGCTCTGTAGATCCACCCGGTTGCACGGATATTGACGATGCACTTCATTGCCGCGAGCTGCCGAACGGAAATTTAGAAGTGGGCGTTCACATTGCTGATGTTAGTCATTTCATAAGGCCAGGCAATGCATTGGACAAAGAAGCTGCCGCGAGAGGTACGACTGTTTATTTGGTTGGTAAACGCATTGACATGGTGCCGGAGCTTCTAAGCTCCAATCTTTGTTCGCTGGTTGGTGGCGTGGAACGATTTGCCTTCTCCTGTGTTTGGGAAGTGGATAATCAGGCGAATGTTTTGTCTAAACGCTTTCACAAGAGCGTCATTAAGTCTAAGCGGGCTATGACCTATGAGGAGGCCCAGGTTCTTATTGATGACTCCACAGAGACTGGCGAAATCGCCAAATCGCTGCGGCATCTTAATCGTCTCGCCAAGATACTCAAGAAGCGGCGTATGGACAATGGGTAAGTATACAGTAACCGCATCTTCGTACTCATGTAATAATGTTTCACTTAAGCGCATTGGTGCTGGCCTCACCGGAGATACGCTTTCAAGTGGATAGTGAAACGCATGAGCCGCTTGAGGTGGAGGCCAAGCAAATGCGAGATACCAACTCAATGGTGGAGGAGTTCATGTTGCTGGCCAATATAACCGTGGCACAGCACATTGCGGCGGAATTCACAGAGTGCGCTGTGCTGCGCCGTCACCCGAAGCCGCCGCCGACCAACTTCGATCCGCTGGTAAAGGCTGCACGATATCAGGGCTTCGAGGTGGCCATAAATACTGGTTTGGAGCTAGCGCATTCATTGGATAAATGCGTTAAAGCCGATAATCCTTACTTCAATACAATGATACGTATCCTAACCACGCGCTGCATGATGCAGGCGGTGTACTTTATCAGCGGTAGCCTGCAAAAGGAAGAGTTTTTCCATTATGGCCTGGCTGCCGATATTTACACACACTTCACCTCGCCCATTCGCCGTTATTCGGATATTATGGTACATCGACTGCTGGCAGCCTCCATTGGGGCCGATAGCACCTATGCCCAGCTTCTGGAGCGCAAATCCAATGAGGAGCTGTGCAACAATTTAAATTATCGCCATAAAATGGCGCAATATGCTGGACGCGCATCCGTAGCACTTAACACACATCTATTCTTTCGCGGCAAAGAGGAAGAAGAGGAGGGGTATATTTACAATAAAAAGTCAGATACATCTTATTTGCTAATCCATTCTTTCTTTTAGCTATGTTTTGTTTGTTCGCAAAAATGCCTTGCAGGTGCTCATACCCAAGTACGGACTGGAGGGCACATTATATCTGAAGGGCGACAAGGATGGCAAAGACGGTCTGGAGCGCACTAAGAGCGAAGTAATATTCACATTCAATGAGGAGGACCATACGCAAAGATGTGGCAATGTGATTTTCCATTCCTTTGATCCTGTCACGGTAAGGCTGAGTCTGGACTCGAGCAACGTGCAGCATGAAAAGTTGATATTCAAACTGGTGAAGCCATACATCAAGGGTTTTAGTGTGGAGACAGCACCGGAAGCGGGTACAGCAGCAACTGCACAGCCTCCGGCCAAAAAATCGAAGAAGGACAAAAAAAAGAAATAGGCGAACGTATATTTTGTTATAAATATCTTCTACTGTTTAATTAAACCCTAGTTTAATGCGGAAAAAAGTAAAGAATATTCAATTACCTTCATATATGATAATATTTTAATTTTATTTACGTACTTCACTCCAACTGAAAATATTAGAGCATGTCGGAAGACATGGAGCGACGTCATCATCCAAGGTATATTAACCTTATGAAAAAGCTTCAGTCGTTGAAGAGAAACGATTGCAGAACGAGATTCTCAAATCGGTTGGACGTCATCGACTCGAGCTTTAGAACGAGACCCTTCTGATCAGTTAAAAGTTAAATTTCGGAATGCTCTTGTGTGGATAGAAAAGATGAAATCGAATTGATTTTTCAAAGTTCACAATGAAACATATGTAGTATAGTTTCTTTTAACTTTGGTCTTGACAATTCTTCACTATTAGTTTTTTATTGAATTTAACTTAAAGCTAATTCCATATGCGTTCATAGTTTAATTTGAGTGTTAGTTTGGCTTTATATGTAAAAGTCGAATGTTTTTCTATTTGCTCATTATAAAAACATTGTTGTCATGGCTTTTTAATTGTGGTGAGAGTATTACTTAAGTCGAAAACACTTTAAAATACTCATGTAGTGAGAGTGTTTCGATAAACCTTTGATCCAATGTTTTTGAGCTCTGGATTTCACTTGCTGTGCGAGCAATTAAATATCATTGCAACGTTTCGACTTTAAGGCGACGGTCGTGTCTAAGCTGGAGCTGTAATTTCCTATATAGCCTATAGAGGATCTACATATACATGTACATTAATATATACCCAATAAACTCATTGTTCAATTGACGCATTTGTGAAAAACTTACGAAACAATGGAGCTGGTTACCGACGCAGTGAATAAAACCAACATTGAAGGCAGTAAGTTTCAAGAACTAACCTTCATTGTACTAAAATATAAAAAAAAAGGAAAGAAATAACTATCTATGTTCTAACCAACATTCTGACTGTGAATACATTACATATGCGTATATTCATACTATATAAATAATAAAAATAAATATAAGTTTTTTGAATCGAATCTTCGTTGACGCAAACGCCTAAACCATCAAAATTATTAAGTTCGCTTTGGAATGGTTAAACAGGCAGAACTCTTATTATTATCGTATGTCAATGGCGCTCTGATTATGCTGTTCTGTCTGGCACAACCGATATATACCATACATAGGCAATATGCGTGACAAGTGACCGCGACGTAGTCGTTCGAATATATATACAATTTAATTATCCAATATCGTATATTGTGAAAGTGTAAATTAGTTTTGCTTTGGCCGATTTAAGTCTTCATCGAGCGCCCAAATTTATGCAGCATTTAATGAGCCACCCAACTGTACATCCCATAAGACAGTGCATTGAACTCGAAAACTACTAATCGACTTAATGCTCTTCACATCAAGGTGTTGCTTCGTCTATATATGGAATGCCAGTTGATGCGCACAGTCCATTCTACTTGGAGCTGTACCGCAAGTCTGTGCAAAATCCAGTCGCTTTTTGGGAGGAGCTGGGACATTTGCTGGACTGGGACAGGCCATGGCAGCAGGTGCTGGATAACAGCAACCAACCATTTACCAAATGGTATGTGGGCGGCTATTTGAATGCCTGCTACAATGCCATAGATAGGCACATACTGGCCGGCAGGGGTGACAAGGTGGCGCTCATCCATGATAGTCCGCTGACGGAAACGGTGCGCAAGGTCACTTACCAGGAGCTGTACGATCAAGTTGTACTGCTCGCAGGTGGACTGGCCAAAATGGGCGTGACCAAGGGCGATCGAGTGGTGATATACATGCCGCTAATACCCGAGACCATCGTAGCCATGCTGGCTATTGTTCGTCTGGGCGCCATACATTCGGTGGTATTTGGCGGATTTGCTGCACGGGAGCTCTGCTCGCGCATTGAGCACGTTGAGCCGAAATTGGTGATCGCCGCTAATGCGGGCGTGGAGCCAGGTAAGGTGGTTCCATATCTGGACATACTGCACTCGGCCATAAATATGTCGCGCTGGAAGCCACCGCAACGCAACATCATTTTTATGCGCGAACAGGTTGCCTTAGATATTCTGGATGATAAAGCCGACATACTCTGGTCAACGGTGCTGGACATGGGCAAGGCTAGTCAACCGGTGGCCTGTGTGCCCATCGAAGCCAATGATCCACTTTATATACTTTACACGTCCGGCACCACGGACAAGCCGAAGGGTGTGCTGCGCACGATTGGTGGCCATCTGGTGGCACTGATGTACACGCTGAAAATGATTTATGGCATTCAGCCTGGCGATACATGGTGGGCGGCCTCCGACATGGGCTGGGTTGTGGGACACTCTTATATATGCTACGGTCCACTTTGTCTGGGCGCCACGAGCGTCATGTACGAAGGCAAGCCAGATCGCACACCGGATCCGGGACAGTACTTTAGGTAAGTATTACAAGGAGAAAGCCTCCTCTTACACGAGGCTTCCTTTGGCCCTCGGTAGTTTTTAGGAGAGATCGCTGTTACTGACTTTTGCTTTTAGAATTATTGACCAGCACAAAGTATGCGGCATCTTCTCAGTGCCGACCTCTTTTCGTGTGATACGACGTGCTGATCCGGAGATTAGCTATGGGCGGCAATACTGCATGAAATCCCTGCGTGCCATTTTCATAGCTGGCGAGCACTGCGACTACGAGACGAAGGCCTGGATAGAGAAAACATTCAAGGTGCCGGTGCTGAATCATTGGTGGCAGACGGAAACTGGCTCAGCTGTAACGGCTACATGTTTGGGGTTCAAACATAATCTCAATCCACCCATGTATTCTACCGGCCTGCCCCTTGTGGGCTACGAAAGTAAGTATTTACTTGATAATTAGATTTTTCGAAAGTCTGTTAACCACTGTTGTAACTATGCACAGTTAAGGTACTAAAGAAGGATGGCACTGAGGCTCTTCCTTCTGAACTGGGTCGCATTGTTTTAAAGCTGCCGCTGCCTCCTGGCAACATGGCTACTCTATACAGAAACGATGAGCTCTTTCGGAAGCTATACTTCCAAAAGTTTCCGGTATGTCATGCTACTTGATTATAAAGATTTTATAATTTCTTGTATGGTACTTGCAGGGCTACTACGACACCATGGACGCCGGCTACAAAGATGAGCGCGGCTACATTTTTGTCACGGCACGCGATGACGATGTCATTAATGTGGCCGGCCATCGTCTGTCCACCTCCAGTCTTGAGGATGCTGTGCTTCGGCATCCTGACGTTGTTGATGTGGCCGTATTTGGTGTGCCGGAGGCAACTAAGGGACAAGTACCACTCTGTCTATACATTCCCGTCGATGGCTGCAAGAAAACAGATGCCAAATTGTCCACGGAGATAATCAAACTCATACGCGATGTGGTGGGTCCTATTGCAGCCTTTCGCCTTATCACCTCGGTCAACAACTTGCCGCGCACGCGCTCCGGTAAAACCATGCGTAAGGCCATGGCTGACTTTGCCCGCAATGAGCGGGTCATCTTGCCGGCGACCATCGACGATGCCAGCGTATTTAGCGAGATACGGCGCGCTCTGCAGCATTTGGGCTATGCGATGTCTGCGCCCGATCCCATAGTGGCCAAGCTGCTGGACTGATCTGGCCACAGCCGACTCATCCGCTGGTGTTTTTGTGCAATATATTGTAGTTAGTTTAAATGTTCCACGAATCAAATAAAGTATCGTTTTAAAAATTATTTTGAAACTGCAAAAATAGTTCAAAACATGGGGAGCTGGTAAAAACTAGAGTCGTTCAAAGAACACGAATGATGACAATAAATATCAAGACTATTTGAAATTTAGTTGAAAGTACATCTTTAAATTCTACACACACACACTCACATCCATATGTGTAATTGCGAAAATAATTTAAATGTTAATGCCCGGTGGTAGCGAACTATGCCCTCCAACCGTTCGAACTATTCGTATAATATGCGCGCAACTAAAACTCAATCAGTTTATTCAAATTTTGTGCAAATTTTGTGCGACATTGTTTGCTATCATTGCCCATGAATAGTGGAGGGTGACAGCGCGTGTATCGCACCCAGTCCCATACCCACTTCCATTACCATTCCATTCCATGCCTATGCTGCATTATGTCCACATATGGCGACCACTATACTGTTTGGCCTGATTTCTGCACTCAACATCAAAGACCGCAAATGTGTTAAGTGTAACCCAATTAGTGGGCTGCGAATGTGAATACACTGTGAGAACACTCTTGCGAACGTGAATACACTGCGGCACCTCACAGTGGAGTACATTTACATAGATAAGATTTCGAAATCTCTGCTAAATTGTGCTCTTGGATGGGATTTGTTCTCAGTCGGTATTAGTAGAAATCGTTGAGGAACATTTATACCGACCTTTTGCAGATATGCGAGGAGAATCGTGAAGTTCATAATTGCTCAGTTTGGTCAAGTCATCTTGAAAGGCAAAAACTCATTTTTCGATCAACTCTTCCAATAGAGCTTTATGCAACAGCAGTGCTATGATAGTCCGACTTTGCTCATGTGTAGGAAGCATGGTATCTTAAAAATCACAAAAACAGCAGGGGCGTGTAAATTGTATATTTATCAAATGATTGTTTTAAAGGAGTGAGTCTTAAATATTCTCGCCGCAAACACTCCTGCCTTAAAATATCAATAATTCCTAAATTCAGGCAATACTTGAAAGTATCTGCTTATGAGATTTTGACTCATTAACCAAAATCAGTAAAACTTTTCTCCACCTGTTGTTTAGTTAGGTACAGAGTTTTAATTTATTTAGTTCAATTCGGTTTTTGTAATACTTAATCTCGGAAAGACTTTTTCAAAAAGTCCGATTAACAATCAAAAAACAAAAATAATTTAAACCGAAATTTTGGTCAACTGGCGCTTCAAAAATGTACCGAAATTCAATGGAAAAAAAAGCTAGCAAAAATATGTGAACTCATCTGTGCTCAGAAAGTATTTAATAGTTAATACTTGGAATCGGCACATAAATCGCGATTTCTGTGTTAATTAAAAAATTGCACCGAGGGTTTGGGCCAAGTAGCCACCGCTATATATCTGCTAATGGCAGATAAAACAATGGAATAACATTATTATAAAATTATATTATCGTATATTATAATTCTGCCCTGATACTCTTAAAGCAAAAGCACTGTTATTGTTTCGTTTCGCCCTACACTGCTTCCGCTAAAGTTGAATTATTAGTAATAGAATGAAATGTGACAAATTTGATTTGCTTATGTAGCATTGACACTAAGTTAGGCATTTCGTTTTCCTATACTTTCGCCCACAGGTTGGTTGGCCCATTTTCTCTTCTCAATATGTAAAAAGGCAGAGTCCAATAGTTTGAATGCCAATCACGCGCCATGGCAAATTAATTGCAACGTTTCGTCTGCAAATCCCTAGCTCATAAACTGAAGATTACTTTACTTACCTTTCGTACAAACATAAGTGTTTGCAAGTTAACTGCAGCAGGTGTGTGTCAACTCATCTGGCATTCGATTTAAGGCGAACGAAAGATGCTTTAACAAAAGTCTATCAAGTATAATGGCTCGTAAGTGCAATATTAACGCACATAACTACCTTTAAGTGGGCGACGCTCATAAAAATGCGCTTTTATAACATAATTAAAAGCTGATAAAACTTATATAATAGATCAACATATTGAGGAATTCATCGCTTCTGTTTGTCTTACGATATTTTGCTTGCTTTTGTCTAAAAGTTCCCAAAGCACACATAATCAACGTTCGCTCGGTGGTCGGTGACGTATGCGTAATATTTGTGCACGCCCACCAACCGGCATGCTCCTGTATCTGTCTGTTTAAGCTCAACATGTGGTCCTTTGTCATGTGTGTGTGTGTGTGTGTGTGTGTGTGTGTTGGACCAATGGCAGCCTTGCATTAGGTCTGTGTGCGTGCTCAGCGGAAGTAAATAAAAGCTGATGTCCTGTCAAGGCAGACCATCATTCGAGTGCCTGCGTTCAACAAGTTCAATTCTATCAGGCAGTGAAGTCATCTACAGCAGAACCGCAGCCAGTTAATACTTTTGCAAGTTTTTGAACATTCCAAGTGATCTTAAACAAAATTGACAACAGGTAAACAAAATGTACATAGATAAAATATTGTAATTAATAAGAGTGCAAAAGTTAATGTAAAAATAACAGTTCCGTACATTTGCATATAAAATTCAGATTCATTTGGTGCAAACCCTTATCTAGTTAGTAGTATTCTTTGAAAAATTGATTCTTAAATAATTTCAGTGTTTATTGTCAGACATGAACATGTGCACATTTCTTAGTTTTAAAGAATGGAATTAAGTGACAAAGCTATCCAAATCAACAGTGATGTTATGACATGTTTTTAAAATCAAATTCGGTGCCTCTAGTTAGGCTCTAGAGACTATACCTATAGTCGATGCATTTAATCAGTGTCAGATACTAATAAGGCATGTATATGGCAGCCAGCTCTACCTTTTATTTTTATGCAATTAAAATTAAAACCGTTAGTAGTTGGTATTTTTTAAATTAGATATTATCATTATTTTCAATAGAATATTTAAAATTTTAAAAGTTTTTACTTATGTTTTTCATATCCTTTTTTTGGTTTTTTAACAGGTATGAACTATTTATTACCTTAGCTTATCAATTTCTGGGCACGTTCTTCTTAAAACATAAAAGTCTGATATTCATTAAATTTTACGACGAGGGTAATTGTCAGTTCGCAAGAAAATATATACTGACAAGAATATTGTCATATCGAATAAGCTTGATCATTTTGATAATGATATTATATATTTCTTGATAGAATTTTTTTTACAAACTTCTTTCCGTGCGCTGGTTTTTCGTTATCAAACCCAAAGTTCTCCAATAAAAGATTAGCTTTAAGCTTTTTCCATTTGCGCTGTCTTCGGGCAAATGTAAAAGATTTCGCATTTGGTATAAAGTATTTTCTGTCATTTTTCTTCCGTCTTTCATTTGATGTAAAAAATAACGGTGCAACGGCTTCTAATCTACGCAAATGCACGCCCAACACGTACATGACATTAGAGGCTTGAATACAGCATTGTTTGGTGTTGACACACAAAGAAAGAGAGACAAATTCATAGATACACATATGCATGGCCAACTAACTTGCCACTGATTGCAGCAGCCATCATTCGTAACACGGGCCGACCCGTACGAGTGCATTTGACTTTTTTATAAGTATACATCTTCATCAGGTTGGGGACAGGTTGCCATTGTCGTTGCCTACTCTGCCTGGAGCTTAATAGAAACAAATTGTCTGATTCGTAAACACGTTAGCGAACATTAGAGCCGACTTCTACTGGCTGCTGTCATCAAGGTTAGCAGGGAAATTTAATACGTTGCCGCTGGCTGCAGGCAGAACTTCTTTCAAGCACAATATGGCATTGTCCTGGCAACAGCAGAGCGCAACGATAATCAGGCACGTAGCATGCAGATTATTACAAGTTAATCAAAATAAGTTGAGCACTCGGCCTGAGCTGCTCGTTTCTGATGCTTCTGTTACCTTAATCCGCTTGCTAATCGTGTTTTCTGCAAATTAAAACAAGAGTGCTCTAGTCGGAAGCGCCCGACTAGGAGTTGCCCTAAAATTCGCACAGTGCTGTCGTACCTTCTTCTATACATATAAACACAAACGGATATATGTACATACGCAACGGCTGCGCTTTCTTCCAACCACCTTGACTACATAAATTCGGCGCCGATCCTCATGAACTTTTCAGAGTTCAAATATGGAACTCAACTATGTGTATTTATCGAAGCTGACCAAGAATATATATATAAATATACCGATTTTAAATAGGTTGAGGGTATATAAATTTTAATCATCTGATGTGCTGTACTTGCAGTATGTCTCACGTTCAGAGCTTTGCGATTTGCTGCCTTGCCATTGTCCTGTTGGCTGTGTGTGTGCAGAGTGCAGAGGCAGCCTCGCAGGCACCACTATGCCAGCCCGGCATATTCGAGGAGATGCCTGAACATATCAAAAAGGTTTGCATGGCCCTGGAGAATTCCGATCAATTGAATTCTGCACTCAAATCCTACATCAACAACGAAGCGTCTGGTAAGCTTTATTAAGTTACCCCCAGAATTCATAACAAAAGTGTGCAATTTTTTATTTACAGCTCTTGTTGCGAATTCCGATGATTTGCTAAAAAACTATAATAAACGCACAGATGTCGATCATGTATTCCTGCGCTTTGGCAAACGTCGTTAAAAACCTTACCGTATAACCCACAAAGCATTCTCAAACGATTCTACGATACGACCCTGGATAACGATCGGTAGTTTTTTTTTAGCTGAAAACACAACACAAATGGCGTCTTCTCCCTCTATGCATAATGTATTCTCGGCACATTGGCGTTAAACATTTAAAATTAATCAACTTGGAAGCTCTCTAGTTCAATAATAAATCAAACAATTTAATGTATACTTACTCGTTAATATATTATATTTGTATATACATATATTCGTACATACTCAAGGACCCCCGAAGAACGTATTGTACATGTTGATCTCTTTATTTATATTTTGTTTTAGAACACTTTATTACTTCTTAATTACAAAAAAAAAAAAAAAATGTTTGTAAAACACATTTATACCACATAATATTCAATGATAATTAACAGTACATATTTCCCTTACACAAAGCACTTGCAAAAATAACCTATATATAATTAAATTGTTATGACGTTTGAAAATGTAAATCTTTACTGCATTCATTTTTAAATAAAGTATCTTTTTCTTCTCAAACTCAATGCGTGAAAAAATGCAATCAAAAGTTTATTTTTCGATATTTTTAAAAGGGAGCGGCACATATGAATTTAACACAGTCAGTTGTTTCCTGTGTGAATTCGTAACCAGCATTTTTTATTGGGCATCATATTTGGGATAGAGATAAAAATAAGACTTGAAAATCAGTATCATTTAGCTGTAAACTCGGCTCGGGTAATAGGAGATTGCTTTACTATGAGACCAACTATTATCCTCTTCAAAAGGTTTGGTTGTGTTTTTTTTTTAATTATTGTCAAAATCGTTCATCATTTCTCGATGTTTGTAAAAATGTCCAAATCATAAATCGAAAATTTGACATTAGACAGCCGTTATTCTGTAAGGAATTCTAAAATTCAGTCTGCTAAAATTTAATATTTGTATTAATGTAGTACCACCCTTTCCAAAATTAAATACTTTTCACTCAGCATTATTCCAAAGCCTACTTATCAATGTGTAGATATATATGTGTGACTGTATTTTAGATTTTCTCATAATTTTTCATTTTGATAAGTCATAACTTCGATTATCATTTACTTGCCACTTACAATCTCAATATTCGAATTATTTTTATTTTCTTAAATTACCGAATAAAAGTCTATGGATACTTCCACAAAAAACAATATTTTTTTTATTGTAGTTTCGCACCCACATTTTTTTCAGGCTTATTTATACATGAAATGTTAACAATTACAACAAAAAAAGAAGGTAACTCGACATTAATGCCCCCAATGATTGAAAAATCACTTTTAAAAATTTCTAGTAATTAATAATTTCCAGATTATTAAAGTTGGTAACTTTTGATCACTGTTGTTCCTAATAACACATAAAATATTAACATTATTAAACATTAAATTCATATTTGTGTCGTCTTTGGTTTAACATTAGTCAACGAAAGTATACTGCATAAAAAATAATTAATATTTTTAAAATTTCACAAGTCGATTTTGGTGGTTCCGTAGATCAACAATGTGCACAACAATTTAAAGCGTTGTTATTTGTAAGTAGTAAAATCGCTCCAATGGATTTTAAGCGATAGTTCAGTTTCAGCTTTTTTTGTTTGCTGTAATAAAAATGTATTAAAAATTCTGCATATTATAGCATTGTTTATAAATTTTAGATCACTTGCGTTGTTTTCTTTGCAATGCACGCTTTTATTAAGTAAATTATTTAATTAAACAAAAATTAAATAAACAATAGAGCAAAACGTAAATAAAGCATTCCACATTAAATGGTGAAATAAATATTCTTGGTAAAATTCTTTTTCTTTTTTTTTTTAATTCTATAATTTAAAAAATCTTAACAAACGATTTAGTTAGCAGATTTTTGGACTTGAATTGTTTATTCTTAGGTATTTGTACTTTGATTTCATTGTACTTTAATTTACTAGTTTTAACTGAATATTTTCAGTATATTTGTTCAATGCGTATTTGCTTAGATTTGCATAAACAAGACCAACAAATTCAGTTGAAGGCGTAAGAATTATTTATATGTATATGGAAAGCGAAATAAATGTTATAAGTACCTGGAGTATTATTCTTCTTTTTTTTTTTTTGTTTGCTTAAAGCAAAAAAATGTTGTTTAACTTCATTTAGAATATTTAAAGTTTTCTTTACTGTTAATTTATGATACTTTATATATTTTTTTGTTTACTTTTAATATTCATTGTTACTCTGGATATTTTTGTCTTATTTGTAGGCATTGGGAAAATAATAAAAATATATATATATATTTGTATACAAAAGCCTTACTTTCATAGTTTCGGAATGGCTTTTTGCTTTTATCAGTCTTTTTTAATTTTATATATCACCGTTTTGAACTGTCTACTGTTCAGCCTTTGAAGCCACATTGAAATTGTTTGTAATTTATAAATTATAAACAAATAAAATTTGTTTTCACAAAAAACAAAAGTGTAAATAACATAAAAGTGCAATAATATAAACAAAGTTTATCAAATTATTTCGTTTCTTTTTTTGTTTTTAGTTATTAATAATTTTTTTTTTGTATTTTCACCTTTTTTTATAATCCTTTTAGTAGATTTCCTTCACACTTCTAGAACGTTTAAAAACGCCTTTGATTTTGTTAATTTAGTTTTCTCATTCCTGTAAAAAGAAAACTAAATGCTAAATGAATTTGATAGAAATGCGACAAGAGGCCGCATTTAACATAGTAAAACTCAACAGTTGCTATAAATAGGTCTGTACACTAGTAACTCTCAGAAAGGGACAGATGTAGAGTAATCTTAAAGAACCCCGGACAATGGATGGAGTTTGTTTTGTACTATATAAGGATACAATCTAAATTATTTAAAGCTTTTTCTTTTTTTTAATTTTAAGAATTTGAGTGTTGAGTTACCATATAGTTTGAGATATTTAATAGTTATTGGTTTTTAGCTTTTCAGCGGCTTGCAACTTAACTTACCAAATATGAGTGTATTTCTTTTTTAATATTCGTTTGTTTTGTTTTTTTTTTTTTTGTTTTCTTTTTCTTTTGAAAGAGCGTTTGAGCATTTGAATTAAGCTTCTCTTGGAACATTAGTATGTTCTTTAGACACTCGTCTTGCTTAAGTTTGTTTTTTCTTTAATCATCAGTTTAAATATTTTACGCGAAGATTTGTGTCTATTTTTAAATTTGTATCAATAAACATTTTAGATCGTTTTGAATGCGACAGATTCTTGTTTCTTTTCGGATTCATTTGGTTTTGGTTCTTTTTTTAATGCTTTCAATTTTTTTGCATTTTGATATATTGCACATTATGGTTTGGGCTGTTACTTCAATATGATTGTGGCTTGAATTGTTAGAGTATGTAGTTTGCTGCTTCTTGATAAAAAACATTTGTAATATCTTTTTGTAATTTGTGTTGTTGCACTTATTTTGATTGGCTTAATTAGTTGAATTTGTACTATAGATTTTTGGTTAAACAAAACATTTGAAATAATAATATTTAAGTTTAAATAAGTTTAATGCATTACACACATTTTTGAACATTATTTTATTGACTTTGATAAATTTTAAGATTTTTGCTTTGTTTTGCTAATAAATTGTTGTGTATTTCTTTGTTTTTTCCTTTTGTTTTGCTCAGCTTAATGAATAAAGTTACATAATTACGATTTTGTAGCTTAAATTGTTGCTATTATTAGGAAAAGAAATTATAATTGCGTTCTTTTTCACGTCAGTAGATTTTAGAAACAAATAATATTTGGGGAATCTTAGTTAATTTTTCAGTTATTTAAGATATATAAAAAAAATAAGAAATAAACAAAAGTTTCAATTTATAAAGAGATGTTTTGCCTAATAGCAGATTCCTTAAAAACTAAAATTTATACATTGCAATTGTTGTATACAATATGACATGATTCACAATATTGATTTACTTTTGGATCGCATTCATCAAATAGATAAATTGAAAAATAGTTTGTAAAATATAAAGAAATATACATAATCCGATTTATTGGCGGGAGCACTTAAAGCGATGCAAGGCTCCATTTGTCCACTAACAAAACATTTAACAACAGGCGATACAATCTTCTTGCCAGTCACAATGATAGGGTATTGCAAAGACGAACAAACACAAAGGTTTCGGAAAATTGGATAGGATAGATAGGGAGATGAAAAGCAAGACGTAGCAACACGTTTAACCTTAAACGCTAGGAAAAGAGAACTTTATGCTTAAGACTAATTGTGTGTGAGTGTTTTCAATGTTTGTGGGTATGTGTGTCTACGTGTACGTATTAATTTATATAGCAAGCAAATTTTTGCATTAAACATTCATATGGTTATGCTCGTTAGCCCTAATCCCTTGTTTTGGTTTTTGGCATACGTGTTGGAGCACGCGCAGCGTTCTTCACTGTTGGGTATCGCCATTCGAGGGATGCGGCAGACTGTAGTTTAGTAATAGGCAGCTGCATTTGAATAATTCTGCGAATATGCCTGCGAATCTATTGGGCAGTGGAAGGTCGCAAATTTTGATGATGATATGCGCAATTAAAAATAATATTTCCATCATTCACTTACCATAACCGGCATAGGCGCGTTCATCGTAACCAGCGCTCTGCTGACTGTAATCCGCCTGTCCAGCTGAATTGTAATCAACGGTAGCCGAACCATACTGCTGGCTATAGTCTTGGCTATATGGCTGATAGCGCGTATCCGGCTGGGTGGCATATCCCGTGGAGCTGTTAATAAACATGGTTAATCTTAACAACCCCCTTTTCCAAGCTGTAGCTTTAACTAAGTGTAAAACTGTAACTTACTTGTAACCCTGATATTGACTCTGATCGTATTCGGTGCCATGATGCGACGCATAGCTGCTGCTGGCCGGCGTGCTCGACTGGGTTGTGTGTGCTGTATAGCCGCTGCTCTGGCCATAGCCATTGTAGCCTTGCTGAGCAGTTGCCGAAGCACTGTAGCCGCTCTGAGAATATGGATCGACCTGCTGTGTCTGGTCGTGCGTCTGATAGCCACCATGATGACTGCAGTGAACGTTGGCATTAATATTATGTTTAATTTGAGTGTTTTTTATTTCTTCACATTTGGGGTAGCGTAGGAAAAATAGCTGTCAGATAATAGTCCGTTTCAAATCTAAATTTCTTTACGGAAGATTCTTTGGCAAATGTTACTTTCCGCTATACACAGGCACTTCCGGCCGACTGTGTAGTGCCAAGACTGTGTGTCTGTTTCTATGCAAACTAGTTCCTCACATTTGAAGCTGTCTTCGTGAAACTTAGGAACGGTCCATCTTTCTGTTCCAATATCGTATATCCGTCATGAGAATGTTCGATCGAAAATTAAGTTCTTATATCGACAATTTTTTTGTTTATTAAGATGGTCTTAACCTGAACCCCTGAGATTTATAAGTTTGACTGTGCTTTCTAATATGAGCAGGGAAAATAGCTATCAAAATGTTGACTAAGATGATGCAGGTTAGCATTAAAGAAAGGCAAATTGTTAGCCAGCCGAAAAGTTATTGAACTTACCTTTGCGCTGGCGCGTGATGACTGGGCGGTGAGCCATATGTTGTTTGTGGCATATGCTGGGATGCCGAATGATACTTTGGTGTCATGGGCCGCTGGCCATAGGGTCCGCCCTCGTATCGTCCACGCTTGGGGCCTGGACCTCCGGGTGCGCCGCGTTTGAGAGCTGGTACCGGTGCAATTTGTGTATTGACATTATGTGCCTGTTGGTGATGTTGCATGGGTGGCCGACTCATACCTTGATTGTAGCCACCGCCGCGTCCGCGCATAGAGCCGCGACGAGGCATTCCTCCATGTTCGCCTCCTGGTCCGCCCATGGAGCTAGCATGATGTGAGTGCGGATACATGCCATTGCCGCCGCTGCCGTTCATGTGTGGATTGTAACCGCCGCCTCGTCCGCGACCGCTGAATGGACCGCCGCGACCTCGACCCCGACTTATATATGGAGGCGGTCCTCCACCGTTGCTACTACTGCTGCCAGGCGCACCGCTCGCCACGTGTGAGTTAACCGCTGTTGTGCCTGTGCCGGCCGCTGCTGAATCCGTACCGTCTTCACCTGCTGCTTCGCCTGTCTGCTGCTCACCAGCTGCTGCAGCCGTGGGCACCGGCGATACAGTCTTGTTGTTATCGGCACCCGTGTGCTGTTTGGGCGCTGCATGGGTTTTGATATGTAGCTGTTCTATTCAACTGTTGTTGTTACATTTTGTGTACTTACGCTGTTGGTATATTGGTGGGCGTCCGCCTCTCATGCCCATTGGAGCACCGCGTGGTTGAAAGCCGCCGCCACCACGGCCTTGATAGCCCAGTCCGCCTCGAGGACGCATGCCGCGTGGAGGTCCTTGCATCATACCCTGCATAGGCGGCCCACCGCCGCCCATGCCACCACCGCGCATGCCACCCATAAAGTGACCGCGACCCATGCCGCGTCCACGTCCCCGCTCGAAACCACCGCGCATGGGTGGGCCTCCGCCGCGGCCTCTGTAACCACCGCCACGTGGCCCACCTACCGGGGGGGCCGCTACTTGTGCAGCTCCTTCCATGCTCTTGCTGAGGTTATAACAACAACAAAGGCAATGCTACTTTTAGTTATTTTACACAGCCCGCAATACTGAGAGGCAAACACATACACACACTACACTCGGACGCGCACACACTCTGTCGTTTTTAGTTTTCACGAATTATTAAACCATACAAAGCATTTACAATAGTTTTGTATTATATGCCGCTCTATTACCACTATTTTACGACTTTTCTTTGTCGGTAAACTATTTTTGCAGTTACCTAAACATAAAAACGCGTCCGAGCAAAGTGAAAAAATATGGCGGCGACTATTGATTTTTTCGTGTGTGCAGTGTTAGATTTTATCGATAGAATAATTAGACAAATTTTGTATCGATATTTTCGGTGTTGTTAAATGCAGTTGTAAGGACGTTAGGTAGAACTGGCGCTGACATAAACAAACAAGTTTTCCACGTATTCAGCATTTGCCAAGCTTAAATTGCGTGTTTTATTTGTAATTTGAAATGTCGTCGTGGATAACGGGGCTGGCGGATAAGGCAGAGAATATACTAAACAAAATTGACCAGAATGCTGCTACGGCCTTGCATATTGAAGCTGGTCCAGCGTTAGATGCTATGAAGAACAGCCTTACCAGCAGTACACAATCTTTTAAAACCACACTCTCTCCGGCCAAGCGTGGCACAAGTAACAGTAGCACACCGATGTCCTTGTCCATGGTTGGCAACAGCGCCTCTAGCGCCAAAAGCGAGGGCTCCCATGTGGCGACCACAGAGTTGCGACAAAAGTTAACCGCCTCGGCCAGTTTCTCAGTCAATCCAGACAACGGGAACGGTATGGACACCCATGAATTGGCGGCATTTAAGATCGCTCTTAACGAGATTACTAGCGAGCGCGATGAGTTGCGTTTGAGACTTGATGAGCTAAACCACGACAGTGAGATCCTTGCCCTGAAGCAGCGGGTACAGGAGTTGGAAAGTCTAACTCAAACGTTATCTGAGGAACGCGACAGGGCCGTCCACGAGCTTAACGAGGCGCAAACTGTTCACATGGCCTACGTACACTCCATCTCTGAATTAGAAACGAATCTCGCCAAGCTTCAGCAAGAATACATAAGCACAGCGCACAAGTTACAAATGCAAACCAAGGAGACGGATCAACAGCGCCAAGAGCTGCACGAGTATCGCGTCAAAGCGCAGCGTGCACTGCAAGCGAAAGATGCGCTAATTGCTGAGCTCAAACAAAAACCGATTGCAGAAGGCGCAGAATGTGAACTGGCTGCCAAAGAGAGTGAAACGCATTTTCTTCAAATCGAATACGATGCTCTGAAACAGGAGCTGCAGCACGCCAGCGAAGAGCAGCAGAAACTACGGGCTCAGCTGGATGATTCCATTGCGCTGGAGCGCCAACATGAGTTGGAACTCGGCATCGCCCGTCAGCGTGAGCAGTCGCTCATCAAAGATCTGCGTACAGCACGTGAGCACAATATGGCCATCGAATCGGAGCAGCGCATGCTTACGCAGGAGTTGACCTCGCTGCGTCAACAGATGAGCAATCAATTGGCCGCCGCCGCCACACGCCTGCAGGAGAAGGAAAAACAACTGCAACAGCAACGGCAGCTTGTAAGTGAGACCGGATTTACAAGTGCAAAGACTGACTACGAAAACCGCTTGAAAGCCCTAACTCAATCGCTGGTCGAGCGTCAGGGTCTGCTGGAACGGGTCACTGCGGAGCGTAATGCTTTGCGACTGCAGCACGAGAACATGCAGACACAGCTGCAGCAGAGCATGCACTCCCTGGAGATGGGTCATCAACGTGGCATCTCCAGTTCGCGCAATACGCTGCTCTCCAACAGCACTGATGACGGTATGTTTATGATTGGCTACTGGCATGTGGCTATAAATTGGACAATTAAATTAAGCTTTATTTCCAGTCAAGGCACAGTTTCCCCTGCTCATGCACCCCAGCCCGTTTGACAATCGTGTTGCACGTCGCTTTAAGCGCGCCCTGCGCCAAGCAGACTCCGTAGGCATACGTGTGGGCGCCTTTTTACGTCGCTATCCAATGATGCGTATTTGCATAATTGTTTATGTAGCGTTGTTGCATCTTTGGGTTATGTTTGTGCTGCTCTCCACAAGTCCCAATTGAATGGTAAAACAAACATCCGTTACACATTTTTCGGATTCTAATTTCAAATATTGCATATTATTTAGTATTATTTATATAGATATATGTTACATAACTTGGTGGTTCAATTCTGTGTTGCCAAAATTGATTACACTTTTTGTGTATAATGTATTGCTTAGAGCTATTTGCTCACAACAAAAATAAAAGAAAAAAAATGATCTATTAAAATTTAAATTCAATAAACATCTCGACTATGTACAAACTATGGTCACGAAAATTGCAAGTAGCTAAGCTTTAAACATTAAGCAAACAAATAACAAGACAAGAAAAATTCATTCTACATGTCGAAAGTCAAGTCACAGTTCCAATATTGCATATTGATTTCAACTATATATAGCCGTTATAGTAAGTACCGATTACTCTATATCTGTATTACATATTTAAGTCAACAAGCATTTTTATAAGTTGGGCCTGTCAACAGGGCAGGCCATATGCGCTGAGCCAGATTGGTGAAATGGAGTTAGCATCCATAAAGAGAGACAACAAAAGAGAGTTTTAGTAGTAGAGACTTTTGGGGCGATTCGCGTAAAACAGGCGCTATATGCCCCGCAAACGTGTATATCAGTCATCGGCATAGTAGCTGACATAGACCGCATCGCCACCGATGCTGATCAGGCACTGACCCTGCAACAGATAAGAAAAGATGCATAAGCACATATAAATAAATCGGTTTTTATATATATTACCTGATTTTTGTGCTGATTATCAAATAACATCAGTTCGGTCAAATAAAAGGACACCATTGCATTACCTCCTAGAGAAGCAATATGGGCGCGCACCACGGCCAGCAGCTCAGTGATAAAGCCATGCACGAATCCGCTAATTCCACCGTATTCGCGTATGGAAGTACTCTCCCTAATAAAGAAGAAGTTCAAGTTCCCCAAATACTTTTCAATCCGTCCACCTGGTATGAAGCTTAGTGGAGTCAAGTCCACTCCATGACGATCGCGTAGCGGAAACTGTTTAAAAACATCCAAATAACTGAGTGGGGAACAAGAAAAAGAATCCTCCACTTACGTAGCGATTGCGTGCCAATGGTGTCATGTTAAGCGGCTTGGCTGGCGGTAAAGCTGCCGCTAAATTATTTAATCGCGATGGCGAAGTCTTTCGCACTTTGAAAGAACTCATGCCGAACGGAGGTATTGCTGAGCTGGTCGGTGTGGGAGTATCGACCATTTGATCTTCATCCAGCGGAAAAATGTAATCCTCTTCTTGTAGCATTCGCTTGCCATTTAGTTCAGGCTGCGATTGGGTTTCATGGACAACGGACACTGGTTGCGTTGCCGCATCATTGAAGCCATTCTGCATCTGTGCCACCGGCGCTCCCCGGCGTCGATATTTCATTTTGTTAGCATCGCTCAGACCCATGGCCATGCCAGTGACAAGTAATTGGATTTGGTCCTGTGTGAGCGTGGAGTTTTAGTAAATATTCTCGATTATTTTTTGAAATGCTTACCGTTTCAGGCAAATCCAATCTAAAACGCAGATCGCATATTGCACAGGGTATCATTGTGCGCAGCTTAAAATAGATGGTCTGTAGAAGTCTGGAATTTAACGAAATATACAAATTATTCAGTTATAAAATTTGAATCGATTTGGAAATAGAATAAGCCGTTTATGTTGATTAGGAATCCCAAGAAGGGATAGAGTTTCCAAAAAGTGGGAGACACCCCTTAAGTGAATTTGAAAAAAGATCTTTAAAAATAAGTCGGATCGGATGCTAACTAAAACAGTTTCGTACAAACTTGCGGGTGATATTTCCCAAAATGCCGTCTTAGCATGCACCTGCACCACATAAGTTATCTACATTGAATATTTTTGCTTCCTACTGCTGGTGTGTGCTGATCACCAATGAGTCAGTCGGCCGCGAGAAACACCTTTATATATAGTGACAACTGTAGTTAAAGGGTAAGATCTTACCAGCCAGTTTTTTTTGAGTAACTTAAATGTTAACAGCCTTACCTAACATTGATATTCTTTCATGTAAAATGTAAACGCATAAATGTTACAACTTCAAGTTTAGTGTGTGTATCCACAGGATTTTTACATATTATTAGATTATATAATTATGTTTTTGGTAAGGCTTGGATTACTACTCACCGCTGAAAGTGTTTAGGGAATCCATTTACGCTTTGGCCCACCTCGAGGCGAGCACGCCACACTTGCGTAAACATTTGAAGATTCTTAACACCATCCAGCTCCAGCATACCTGGCACCTGTTGCGTGTTTACGACATGAAAGCCTTCGGGTGGATATGGTTCCATGAGCAACGATATAATTTCCAAATCCTCAATATCATCAACCTCTAGTACACACATCTCTTTGTTTCCGCAATTCAAGTCGATTTCATTCATTTCCTCATCATCCGAATCATCACTATCCGAATGCTTGTCTCCCACGGCACCACTAGCGCTGACTATGTCAGGATCCATGCTTTTTAACTGATAAATCTCTTGGTTGCGCTCAAATGTCTCCTGCAGCTTTTTCTGTAGTTCGTTGAGTTTTTGTTTGTCCGTCCACGAGTTGCCTGCCACAATTTTAGGCACCAGCGGCACGGGGAGCGCAGTCAGAAAGAGAGCTGTACCCGTGGCAATTAGCGCTATCATGCGCTCGCCAATGGCCACCTGGGTGCGCAGTCCAAAAATGGCATTCATGCCCTTGGCCTTCAGCTTATTTATCAGCACACGGTGCAGCTCGTATTCCAAAAAGGGCAATCCATCGGAAATATCTTTAGCATTCAGTTCGGCACGCAGATCCCGCTTAGCGCGGACAACTTGCGCTTGCATGAAACAACCGCGTCCAGTAACCTGCATGAACTCTGGAACCTCCAGCGTGGCCAGCAGCACATCTGGCACCCGGCCTTTGCGGCAAATGGCGCACTTCTTCATCTTCACCGAGCTCAGGTTGTATGGCACATGACAGATCGCACAGGTTTTGCGTGGCGCATTAGGAGCTGGCAAGCCATAGCGCTTGCTTGCCGATCCCGAGCCATTAGCTGTAGCTAATGAGCTGCCGTCCTTGCTAGAGGCTGCTGCCTCACTAACGCTGCCGTTTGCTTCGCGCTCCTCCAGCGAATTGGACATCGCAGCCACATTGTTGCTTGCCTTGGATATGGCAAAAATATCTGTTTGCGAAACGGACCGTTTAAAGACCATGTTTATGACTGCTGCGGTGCCTGTGGCAGACAAAACGCACACATCTTCACTGTGTAATTAATTATGGACTAGTTAACTTATTGAACTTTGTGTTGATAATTATTTGATTTCTTAGGCTTACGATATTGTTGTTGACTCCATGTAACCTAGCACCACGTTACAGCCCAAAGAACGGGCATGAGAGCGAATTTCCATGCGCAGCTCAGTCCACCAGCTGTCCCGTACTTCAGGCTCATCGGGATTGGGCACACGTTCTAGGAGTTTCACCGACCTGGCCGCTACAGTTGCGCCCAGGTGCAGTATGAAGCCAGTTGGATATTTAGTCATAGTTAGGAATGGGTATTCCAGCATATCTAGACTATCCGTTGCCTTGCTGCCCACTGTGGGTGTGGTTAGGCGCATCATGGCCGTGGCCGCAACCAAACGCTCGCTTGCCACGCAAATGGAGTTGCCTGCCAATGGAATTTACTAATCCTTTAAATCGGTCTTTAAATATAACATTTTTAAGCGATGGGTCCACATATTTACAACGTTTAGGGACACAGTACATAAGATATCGAATTCGTTAATGCTTAAGGGAGATAGTTTGGTTTTGCTTACATCAAGATACATTTTTATTCCCTTGAGTTGTTATATCACCACATTCAGTGCCAAAACTTCTTTTGAGCAAAATATTAATTCAATTTGATTATATATACGGAATCTATGGAAAAGGATTTATGATGTATCAGTCTGATGTCTATGATGTATCAGTCCTTAGCCTATATAATTGATCGAATGATCTCCTTTAATAATGTGATCAAAACATACTTTTTCCAAAAATCAGAAAGGCAAAGATAATTGTAGAAGTTTTCACGATGAAGCCCCCACTATTCTGGATAATGTATATATTTATCAAAAGCTAAGATTGAGCTATTCAATTTGATTGTGGTCTATTGATGACCAAATATGAGAGTTAATATTTATTATTGACAACTTTTACAACCATTTATATATTTGCCACACTTTTCTCGGAAATGGTATATTTAGATAAAACTACTGATAGTCTTTTTGTTCCCAATAGTCAGAGTCGGGTGCTGCAGACTAATTTATGTTTGCATCATGCAATTTGATTTATTTTATGATATTTAAATGGGTTCGATTAACAGATATGTTTAGATATACACTCTTAAGGTTAGATACTATTTTTATTATTTTTTTTTTTCGTTTTATTATAGACATATAAGGGTAAATAGAAAGAGAGATGAAGGATAAATATAAATATAAATATAAATATAAATATAAATATAAATATAAATATAAATATAAATATAAATATAAATATAAATATAAATATAAATATAAATATAAATATAAATATATAAATATAATTATAAATATAAATATATTTATATTTTGTCATCAGTTTAGTTGACTTACGTATATATCAAGGCTGCAAACTCAAGACAGGCTTTAATCATTTTCAAATTTATTCTACTTTTTTTTTTAGCCATGAATAGATATGGTTCTGTACGGGTCTATGGTCGGCTGCTCTTTAGTCAGGAATTGAGAGCTTAGATTTCCTTCACAGTAGTTTCTCTTAAACTGGTCCGGTTCAAAAAAGGGTTTGCAGTCTTGATTTATATTTTTATTTATTATGATTCAGGAAAGAAAGAGGAAAAGAGTCTAGCTCAGGCGAGGCTTGAGCGAGAGACAGAGCTTTTAACAACATATAAGGAGCGAACGGATGTTAGCTGCAATCACCCACTCACTTACACACACACATATAGCAGGGAGAGGTTTGACACACAAATACATTGATAATGAACATCGAGAATGCGAAAGAGACAGACAGAGAGAGAGGGAGAGAGAGTAAGACGACAACTACTTACGCTTGCGATGCAATATGTAGGCTATGCCTGGATGGCGTTTGATTCAGCAGCAGGCGCAAATAGAGAACATTAGAAGAGTTTGTGAGTTACTCAAGAGAGGCACGAGACACACAAATACACTCGCACACACGTACACACACTTTCGCAAGGAAAAGCAGCAGGGGAAAATCGCTTAGACTAAGTATGCATACAAGTATTAATAACCTGGCTTAGCCTGTGCTTAGTTGCTATAACTAGTTCAAAAAGGGAATGGACGACTACATACCTTTTGGCGTTACGCTTAAATCGGAGTCGGATGAGCGACGACATATCTCACCCAGCTCTTTGGTCTGCACCATTGTTGTAGCTGTTGAGGTGGTGGATGTAGATGCGCTGTCTGCATTGCCACCGCCCGAAATTCCGCTCTTGGATGGACTGGGCGTAAGCTTCATGCGATTGCTGCTAACCGGCGATGCAAACCTTTTCCCACTCGCATTACTCTCGATTGTCGTAATGGTTGTGGGAATGAGCACGCCCTGTGCCGGCGACTGTTGCTGCTGCTGCTGCTGCTGAAGCTGCTGAAGATCGCTGCTGGACCTAGTTGAGCGTTGTTGTTGGTTTTGTATGGCAAATGGCGAAACAGAATAGCATGGAGCAAGCAATGATGATTTATTATTGTTGTTACTATGGTTAGTACTATTAGAAATATTTACAACATGGTCTAGTTTAAAAACGGGAGGATCATAATATTCAAAGGCACGCGTCTGTGTGGGCGATAGCTGTGAGCTATTGTCGGATTCAGTTGGAGTGGGTGTCGAGGGGCAAATGCACAGCACGGGCGCAACTGGCAGCAACGTGTTCGGAGCTATTGATGATGGCGCTGCTGCTGGGGGTGATGCTGATTGTGCACGGGTATCAAACTCTACTAATGGTGCAACATCTAGACAATTAACGCTAGCGAACTGACTAAGCGTGGATTCATAGCTGGGCAAATGATTCAGCTGCAGCATGGATACGAATGCACTCAGATTTGCACAGGGCCAATCCATGGCACTGTTCGTGGGCAGCTCCGGCTGTGAACTATAATATGACTTGCGCTCCAGTGACGGTTCCAGTGCAGCAGTGGCAAGCAGCAGGGCACGCTTCGGTTGTATTGACAGTTTGGGCGTCAAGTGCATCAGTTTCTGCAGACGACGCGAGAAACCCTTCAGATCCTCAAAAAGTGTGTGCCGTTTGGGTGTCAAGTCTAATTGGCTGTTCTCACAGCTGAGCGTCTCGCCGGGCCTAATCCAGTTATCCTGCAAATTATCATCATCGAACCGTTCGTCTTGCTCTTGTTCATCTTCGCTGGACGCTTCTGCTGCTGCACTGTCAATGCCTGTGGCAAGCGTTTCAGTTATTGACAATGACTCCGTTGAGTCCGTGGAGCACATGGACTTACGCTGAAATAGATCCATCTCCAGGTCCGGTGCCGAGCGAGTGTTCTCTTGATACTCGGGCAACTGTGGGACCGCTAGTAGGCACATGGTTGGCCCTGCGCCTGTATTATCACTTATGGAACGCGTTATTGCCTGCGTTGACCGCTTGCCCATCGAGATACGTGATTTGCGATGACGCTTGCCACTTGCTCCGGCTCCACCAAATAGACTGCTTAGTGATTGAGTGGCATTCTCTGGTATCTTGGGCTCCATGCGACGCAAAAGAGTTGCGTATTTCTCGCTGAACACATTCCGCGAGGACAGGGTCAAACGGTGCATGCGATGTCGCAGCTTCTTTTCCCGCGTCGGCTCTCCACGTGCATCTTCTTGCCTCAACAAGTTCTGCATGACATCCCCATCCTCCGTATCGCTGCTGCCGCTCTCCAAATAGAACAACGTTGCCGCCGCCGCTGCTGCTGCTGCCGCCGATCTGGCACTCACACTGGGCTGTTTATATATATTAAGACGATACTGTGGCGAACGGCCGGACAGCGGCAGGCTAGCGCTGCTGCCGCCGGTGCAGTTTAGAAAATCTAAATACTTTTGAGCTCTATGTGTGCTGTTCATGGTTCGGTGGTCAATTGGGTGAGTGGTGGCGTTTTTAAGTGTTATAAATACGACACAAAAACAACAACGATTGAAGGGGGTGCAATACAACAACAAAAATACGACAAGGAGTACAAAACAGGTTTTATACAGATATGAACGTTAAACGAAGATTGAGTTATTCGTGAACGACGGGTAAAGGGGAAAACATTCAAGAGAAGAAAATAGAATGCTTTAGAACATATTTTCAGCTTGAGCCACGTGGACCTACTAGCAGACCTACTAATGGACGCAAACTAAATATGCTTGGGGCTTATACCTTCTTATCATGGAATTGTCTTAAGCAAGTGCGATTGGAATTTCAGGTTCGATATCAAATTTGAATATAATTTATACATATATCTACAGTCTTGAAAAAGTTTCTTTTTGTTTTGGCATTTTTTATTTAGAAAGAGAAAATCCCTGACTCCATATATGTACTTATATTCATGACGATAAGTGGAATCGGTAGCAACCTAGCCTCTCAGCTTCAATATTTTGTAGTCAGAATCAACCGAAACGCGTTTTGGATACTTTAACAATTATTTCGGTCGATCGAGTCAAACCTCAAGTTTTTTCTGTACTAATTAAACGGACCGAATAGATACATATGTCATAAAGGGTTTTATACTGTTTACCTAAGTTATTGGCTGCTTTTTCCGTGTGTTTCTTGAGATAAAAGCATGCGGAACCTTTAACCACTATAGAAGGTGGGATCAATTCGTAAGACATTTCCATAGTTGAAAGTTATACTGGAAACATTTCATTTAATTTTCAAACAAATACTCACTCTTCGATGAGTGGTACATCCGCGCTGGTTGGCTGGCTACTGGTGTCCTTTATCAGTGTTACCGCTGTGCCGACGCCACGTGCGACAACACCCACATCGCCCTCCAGGTCAAAGCATTGCGTATAACCGATGACAGCATTGGCGCCCATATTGATGGCCTTCAACCCCATCTTTCGTTGCACCTGCCCGGACAGTTTGAGAAAGACAACCTGACGTGCCTCGTTGGAAGCGCGCGGTGTACGTATCTTGTCAATCCATTGATATTCCGGATCATCATTGACGACCAGCTCCTCGACAAAACCATGTATGACCTGCGCCCGAAACCCAAACGGAACACATTGTGCTGGGGGAAGAGAATAGTTATTAAGTTAGTTAGTTATTATTATTCTTAACATGTTAACGTGCTCTACGCACAGTGGAAGAAGGGAATGCCACACGAGCTCTGTCGGAACTTGTTGACATCGGAGAACAAGTCTACTTTGACAATGACGTTTATTTCACCACGTATGCCATGCATTGTGTCGAAGACGGGTATCCAGCCAGAGAGCACTGTGCCCTTGCCATGGCCCGATTGACTAGAGCTCTCCAGGCACAGCGGATTCAGACTTATGTTAACCTTGCCAATCGCATCATTTGCCGAATAGGTGTCATAGTCCATAAGACGAATTTGCAGTGGCTCGTCCTGCAGTTCGGCGTCATCGACTTCAAAGCGAAACCTGCAGGAAGCAAATATCAAATATAACTGAGAGACGAACAAGTGGTGCTACATACCAATCGGTGTTCCATGTCGGATTAAGACTTTTCCGGAATACCTCGGTTTTGTGCTCCTTATTAGCCAGTTTAATTTCCACAAATGCGTCGGTTGTCTCGCTGCTCTTGTCCATCACTGGCAGATTACGCGCAGCCTTTATTTTGACGCCCACCTTGCCTGGCATTTTATTGCCTGCTGACGCAACTCAAAAAGCTCCTAGACTGCCCCGCACAACCAGCACACAGTGTGTGACTTTTCGCCCAATTTTCTGCACAATATTTCAATTTGCACGTTGTATTTTATTATTTTAAGTTATGTTTTTCATTTTTCTAGTGATGTCAGTAGCCGCGTAATCGATATTTTCTAACTAATCCTTATCGATTTAAACTATTGATAACTTTTACTTTAATGACGGTATTCCCCTTCTGCTTTTACTTAATACATATGTATTCCACATTTCACAGTTGAATTGATGTTCTTTGAATGGAAATAATAATAATAATAATGAGGAATGTGGTTTAAAGATACCGTAAGATAGTTGTAGTCATTATAACTTTGCCATATCCAATAAAATGTTATCTTGTCCTTTTATTGATAAGATTATTATTCTTAACATATACATATACTGAGACTTTTACTGATTAAAACCTATACATGAATGTTTTTTTATTTTTTATTTAAACATATTTTTAGCACATCTATAATAATTTGAATAGACTAATAATGTAAATGTTTTTACATAACTAATTTATAGAGCGAATAACTCGACAGTATTTTATTGGTTAAAATCTTCAGATAAGTTTATTCCTACCAAAATGTTGAAAATGAAAATCTTACTGATATTAGGATGAATTAATCATATTGGCAGTCCATATAATCTGTACATTGCAAGCTTAATACTTAAAGACTAAAATACGAATTATTTTCCAATGCAAAAATCTTTAAAGACCACATCGAGTATATCTTCGCAGCTGACATGTCCAGTGATGCGTTCTATGCAGCGCACAGATTTACGTAGCTGCTGCGCTGCTATGGCCATGTCTGGGTACACATCGGGTTTGTAATCTCGTAGAAATATCTCGATGTGATCAATGCACCGTTCCAATTGCTGTCTGTAACGCGTGTGCGTGATGCGTGGATGTTCCGCCTGCGGTACGCCACATAGTTGCTGCAGCAGCTGTTCTAAGGAGCCCAGAAACTCGGGCAAGTTGTCTTGCTTGTGGCATGATAGTGCCAACACATTGTCCAGTTTTCTGAGACGCTGAATTTCCTCCGCTGACAGGATGTCCGTTTTGTTTGCCACTAACTGCAAGCGCTTTCCACTGCACAGCTCCGGCGGTATGTCCAGCTCCTCCAAATAGCTATCGATGTGGCCAGTTAGTGCCTCATTGTTTTCCACCTTACGTAAAGCTCTGGCGTCTGTGAGTAACAAAATAAGATCGGAGCTGGCTAAGCATTGTTTGGCACGCGCCATGCCTTCCACCTCGATAGTATCTGTGGTGTGCTTGCGAAGGCCTGCTGTGTCCGCAAAGACAACTGGATAGCCGCCAAAGTTATGCATTGTCTCAATAATGTCGCGTGTTGTGCCTGCCTGTTCGGTCACAATCGATACGGCACGCTGACAGAGTAGATTCAAAAGGCTACTCTTGCCTACATTTGGAGCACCGATGATGACTGTGCGTACACCATCCCGTAGCAGTTCGCCCTGTCTTTGATCATTTAAATGTGCACGTATTTCCCGTTTCACGGCATTTAGTTCTCTGGTCAATTTTACTATAACGCCGCCCTCTATTTGCTCCTCTTCAGCAAAGTCAATATACGCCTCCAGATGAGCGGCACAACGAATGAGCCGTTTGCGCCAACTGTCATAGAGCCGACCCAAGGCGCCGGTACTTTGCAGGAGAGCCTACAGAAGGAGAATTCACATTAACTTATATAATATATTATATAATATATATGTGATATACCTGCTTGCGTTGTGCTTCCGTTTCGGCGTGTATTAGATCGGCCAATCCCTCAACCTCGGTTAGATCAAGTTTGCCGCCGAAAAACGCACGCTTTGTAAACTCACCAGGCTGAGCGGGTCTTAAGCCGGGCAACTGGCCAAGTGCATCCAGCATTGCCGCAATAACGGCCAAAGAGCCGTGCACCTGAAATTCACAAGCGTCCTCGCCCGTGAACGACGCTGGTCCAGGAAACCACAGGAGCAGACCGCGGTCGATAATCTCTTTGCTGGTGGGATGATAAAACGATTTAAGATATGCCTGTCGCTGTTTTGGTTCGTATTCGCCATTATCAACAATGGCGCGCAGCGCCTGCTTTGTTTGTGGGCCGGAGACACGTATTACAGAGACGCCGCACTTGACGTGGCCCGAACTGAGGCTGTAAATGGTGCATCCACTTGAACTGGCAAAGCGGCGAAAAACCACAGAAAATCCATTTGAAACGCTCCTCAGCAGCGCCATGGCAGACGAAACGAACGACCAAACGAACGATAATGTCAAAAACAAAGAAACAAAAAAAGAAAATCAAAATCAGATGATTTTTGCAAGCGATACTTTTGGCGATAGCGAGTAAATGAGTACATATTCGCGACAGCTGTTGTCAGAGTTGCCACATAAATTGCAGTAAATTTGAATTTATTTCGTCTTATGATTTTTGATTGAAAAATTGATTAGTTTTGATTTTCATTTTTGGTTGTTAAATCATCTTCGTCGGGTTTTATTTCACTCTTTTTCTTTGGCTTGTAAGCCGCTGGTCTACCCGGACATAATTTGTTAGTTCTTGGCGATTTGTCTTTTGGGTTTTTCGGTTTGCGTTTCAAACGACGCCAATAATCATAATCCCTTGGTCCTTTAATGGGTAACTTGGGTACCTTTAGCCCTTTTCGAAATAATCCATCTTTGCGAGTGCCCAGACAACGTACAGATTTAAAAATCAATTGTCTACCAAACTGTGCCAGTATCATTACGATTTAAGCGAAAGTAAAAAACCAATAGGGAAATATTTGTCTATTTTTAAACGAACAATTTGGAAACAACTAAGCGATTCTGCTTAAATTTAAGCAAAATAAATAAATTTGACATATGACAAGCATTTGTTACCAGGAATTTGTCAAGAGCAGATAGATTTTTTTCGATTACCAACACAGGTTCTGAATATAAATCTTTCCTTCAATGCACACGAAACGCAGGGTACGGCAATATTTAATTTTCAGCGCGGCGGGCAATTTGAAAAAAGCCGAAAAAAATTAAGATGCTTCCTTCCCTACTTGAAGCCCATATAACCAACAAATAAGTTAACGCCCAGAGTCAAATTTATAGATCTATTTTACATACATATTATATTCACAAACTTAATTACGCGTAATGTATAAATGAATATTACAACAATATGAAATAATTGTCCTACCAGTAAATTTAATGTTCATATTACAATTTAAAAAAAACTTTTACATTAGCGTATCGAATTAGTCAGTTAATGGTGCGGTTAGTAATAGAATAATTTCCTTTTGGGATGTTTGCTATTCAAGGATCCTTCTCCAACATGCGGTTGACTGAAATGCGTTGTTTTACCAAATCTATTACGGTTTATCATGGCGTTATTGTTGTCCCATTGTTTAATAAAGTCTGAAGCCTCGTCGTCCCACGGCTTGGCCGTTTCAGGGCGAGTTCCAGTCTTTCGGCGACAGATTGGGATGTGTCCCTCCGATTTAAACATTCTTCGCTGTTTGGGCTTGGGCTCCTCTGGAAATTTTGTCCAAGTGCAATCATATGTGCGCTCCTGAAGCTGACAATGCTTGTAGTGGGAATGATCCAATCGTTCGTTTTCTCCCCAACCACTTCCTTGGTTCTTGTTCTGTTCCCACATCGAGAGACGCTTGCTGGCCTCATATTTCTCTGCCTTTTGCCGTTCCCTAAATATTGCCTTCGCGTCCAGGGCACGAGGGCTAATACGGCCCAGCGGTACGCGCTTGGCAATGTGTCGGGTCTGGGCATGTGCAATTTTCGCGTTTAGCAGCTCCATGCACCGATTCACCATCATCTTTGTAGTATTATTAAAGTTAACCATTCTGAATACGAAAACTAATTGGGGCCACTTCTAACAATAAAATTTACTAGGTTTTTTTTTTTTTTTTTAAGTTTTGTAATATTTTGTGCCGTGCGAGAGTGCCGAAAGTTGTACTTTTTAGAAAGGAGCAATAAATGTAACTGAGGCGAATAAGTGCTACTTGATGATTACAACGACAGACCATATATCATGGATAACTTGATCTTATATTGTGTTTGTACTGCCTGGATTACTTGAATTAGTATGTTGTAATTGGTGACGCATTGTTGTACCGGTCACCCGGTTGGACAATTAGCGCACCTATGACAGTCAGTACTAGAGATGGACCCGTGTCGTGTTATCTTTCGCTATGCGATGAACAACCTGATCCAATTTCGTGCCCGAATTGGGTGCAGAAACACTAATGAAAATTGAAAATTTGAAATTGAGTACAAATTAATGTAGGTGCATTAATACAGAAAGCCCAAAATTAAAATATGAATGACATAAGCGAATTAATACCAGCTGTTGGTCATCATGGTTAAAAATGTGTTTAAGCTACGTGCGGCAAGTTTTGGAAATAGTCGGAAGTGTGATCGTCTCTAGTCCGAGAGCTATTTCTTCTGAGGTGCCGACAGACACTCAGTTTAGATACGTATGTTGACTGCATCAGTATGGGGCGTTATACACTTGTGCTACTCTTCATACTACTTGGATATTTTGCTGCGGTTTTCGCTGCAGGCAACAAGACAGAGTCGGTGGCGCCTAAGGAGCGCTTACTTTCGCGCCGCGTTCGTGCTCTGGTCTTCCCCAATAAGGCCTCTGTGTTGATAACGGCAGCATTGACCAAAATTATTGTAGGCGGTCGACCAAGTGGACTGCAGTATAGTTTAGAATTTGATATGTATGTACCGCTACCGGATACTGTGGAGGGCTGGCGTCCAAAAATACTCCTGGATCATACAGCTAATAAAAAACAACCAGCTACAAAGCCAAAACGTCGTTGGGATTGGAATTGGCAGGGATACGGACAGAATAGCTCAGTTTATAAATATCCTTATCGTAGACCTAATATGTACTATCGTGGACCCTACCAAGCAGAGACCTATACCAAGTAAAGTCCAACTAAGACTTAGCTAAACAGTTTCGCTTTAATATATATATATATATATATATATATATATATATATATATATATATATATATATATATATATATATATATATATATTAAAGCGAAACTGTATATATATATATATATATATATATATATATATATTTATATATATATATATTTGTTTTGCTTTTTAAATTTATGCAGATATGTTAAACCCAAAACACACAAAGATTACTTCTATAAAAACCCTTGGCAATTGAGCGAGGAGCCCTGGCAACGCAGTCATCAGCCCACTGCTGAGGAAGAAGTCTATGAATCCTGGGTACATGTGCCCAGCTGGAAGCTAAATCGTGACTATAGAGAACGACGCGCAATCTTTGATCAATTTGAGGCAATGGGAAATTTGTAAGTGTGCTTGACATAATACATTTTATTTTTATTGTACTATATTATACATATTATAAATTATATTATTACACAAATAATAGGCGTTTTTTTTTATAATAGCTTTCAGATGGACCTAAGATCCTGCATAAAACGAGCCATGTGTGAGTTAAAGGCCAGGTTTAATGAGAACCATGGCCAGGGTATGCTAATGGAGGACCTCTTGCGGATTATATTAACGTGAGGTTTACTACTAGAAGACGAAATGTTTATGCTAATCGCTCCATTTTAGTGTGCCCGAAGAGATAACCGATGTTAAATATAAACATCGCGTGGATGTGCGTGACTGTACTCGTTTCTATGCGGTTTCCTGCCCGTATAGAGTGTTGGAATTTCTGTCATGGAATGTTAGGCATAGTTCAAAGAAAAAGTAGACATTGAGATTACAATCGTAGTCAATATGGGGTATAGTAAAACGTTAGCTGAAATGCTCAGTCTACAAATTTAACAGCTGGAAGTCAGTTCACCTTTTCGTTTTCTCTAGACGGTTTGGTTTATTTTTTGGAATATTTTCTAAATTCAATATACAGTATTTCGGATTGTTAAACTAAAAATAAAATTAGAAAGAAAGAAATTTTTGTAAAATGTTGGCCCTCAAATCGTTGGTAAGACGTGGGACTTTTAGCAAGTTGCCCAGCTTTCGGGCTATGGTTTCCCTGCGTATGAAATCCAATAAATGTGAAAAGAAGAAAGAGAGCGTTTGTCCAAAGAAGTTTGACAACTTCCCATGCGGAAAACCAGAATTAATGTTGACTCCACCGCCAAAGGTTAACGAAAAAAGGATAGCTAAGCAGCCGTCCATATGGTTGAATCCCTTCTGTGACGAGGAAGCTGTGTACTGCCCATTCAATCCGCGATTTGATGATATCTACTACGTTGAATCGGATAAGGCCAATCGCAAGTACTGGCAAACCTGGGTATCTTGCCCTCCGGTACAGCTAAAGAAGAAGAAGATTTGCTGCTTTGAAAAGGCCAAGGCTGCACCACTGAGGCGCCGCAAGAACCGCAAGCCAAAAACTGCTTGCCCACAGCCCGAAAATTGCGATTTTGCTGAAAGCCTCGACTGCCCGCGCTTTAAGCGTCGCTGTCACCGTGCGGGTCGCATTCCACCCGACTGTCTAAAGACGAAAAGGCCACTTATTTGCACCAAGCCCTTAACACCATATCCGGCTTTCTCTGAATGCGTGCGTATGAAGCCCAACGCGCTACCGTTAAGCGAGTGCATCTGCTGGAAGAAACCTATGCTCTGTGAGGCCTGGGCCGAGTGGCGTCGTCGCAGTATGAGAAAAACTATGAGATAGGACTAAGTGCTGATTGGGAGAAGTGCGTGCTTTCTTGGGTTACTAAATTAAACCAGCTTAAAATCATGTCAAAAAATATGTAACCATATTTTAGTAAAACACGCAATCACGTAAATTGGATCTAATTGTTTTTTTTTAAATGTGTGGGTTATCAAAAACTCAGCTTCGTAATATGCGTTAACCAGTTCCAAACTCTTTGATTGCAATCGCTGTAGGTTTTTAAGCAATCTGCTCCGCCACGACCCGCATCTCTAGCGTTCAAATACTTTTCGGCGACGTTATCCACGGTGGGTCTGTAAGAAGGGTTGATATAAGTATTAGTAGTATTTGCAAATAGCTTAAATACTCACATCAGCACTGCATTGAGAATTTCGCTAAAAATATTACTATCCTCGAAAGGCAATTGAGAGATTTCACATATGCTGCGTAGCAGACAGCTGGCGCCTCGTTCACTACCATCCAGCCTACGGCGAGAAACGGTGTTGATGCATCAAATCATATAATGCAATTGGTGAGATCTGCACACTTACAGTTCCATGCCCGCCTCGATGGTATCGTAGACCCAACTGCGCGTATCGTCCCGGTGCAGTGTCGCCTGCATGCCTTTGCGTAACTGTCGCGCTGTGGAAACAAATGCAGTTGTATTCCAAAAACTCCACCAATATATTGGTATGGTTGTGGGTATATATTGGTTTTGAAAGTTATAAAAGAACCAAAAGGATTGATCCTTATCAACTTGTTTGACAGGATGTGCTACGCCGCTGACGAACTATAAAAACATTATTTTAGCAATGATGCGAGATTTTTTATTCGAACGAATTGTGTAAATGACGTACCTTGACAACGCCCTGGCCATTGAAAATAGCCACACGTTTTGCTCGAATAAGTTTGGCTGGTGGATTAGCTCGGCTCGGAATCGGCACTCCACTTACGTTACCCTGACTACCATCTGTAATAAAGCTAGGCTTGATGCTGTTCGTATGGGCAGCTACTATTGCCGTTCCGCAAATTATCGCTAGCAGCAGCACATTTAAAATTCTCTGGTCTTGGTTGGGGCTCATCTTGTTGCCATTAGAACGTTTGACATACTAATGTGGTCATTGCACCATGTTAAGCATTGAATAGAACTTCAAAAGGCCACGCAACATTTATTTGCTTAAGAAATTGACAGTTGAGCTACACCAACAATAACAGAGCTGTGCTGTTTTGTCGACATATCAACCATAGTATAAAAAATTATAATCTAGAGGTTATGGAACAATTGTACTTTTAAATAATATATTAAATGAAGAAATGGTTTCTTTTGTTATAATTTAATAGTGTCTATAATTTGCAATGTTTCCTTCAAAGTTAACAGCCTCTTTAACATGTTGTCAAACCAACGATTTAAAAGGCTGCGGACAAGAAGATACTAGTCAATTTATTTTTGTTTTTCATAAATTATGACTTGTGCTTCGGAGAATCTTTTTATTTTTTGTCCGTTTCACAAAAATATTTAAAAAAAAGTTACATTTCATGTTCTTTTTAGCTAATATGCCTGTCAACAATTTAGCAAAAATTAAAAATAAAATTTTGCTTTTACCATGTTGTAAAAATAAACATTTCATTAATTCTTGAGCGTTAATTCTGTTAGCGAATATTTATTTAGAATATTTTGTTGACAGAAATTTAAAAAATATTTATAAAATATAATATTAAGCGTTTGTCAAGTTGAAGTATACAATATGCAAACAATTTATAAGAACTGTTTCTCTTCACTTGGTATGTATGTATATCTAGAAAAAGGAATTTCGTAGAAACACCTATTTCTTACTTTGCCAGTGTAGTCTTTTAACTGTTGTAGGGTATTAGTTCAGTATGGGTGATTTTAGGTGCAGGTATACAATAAATGATGCATGCTATTTTTTTTATTGTTTTTCAGAAACTGCGTTCCAGTTTCTGCAGCTTTTACCCTTCTAATTGGGACTCACGCAGAACAAATGTTTGACTCATTAACAGTTTGGTTAATTGAAGAGCCACATAGAGAAATCGGAAAACCGGAACGCAGCTTGGCTTATCATATGTCATATGGATCACATCGAAATGCGACAGCCACAGCAGCACAACTCGAAATCTTCAAACGGGATTCTCGTTGCGATCATCGTTTCGATTTCAATCACAGGCTCCTGTGGCCTTTTGCTATTTCCTACATCCACGGTGCTGCAGGTGACGTCATCTATGTCGGTGCCTATTGATATACCAGATTCGCGAAAGGTCTTCATGGACTTGGGTTTTCAAATGAATTATAATTTGCCATTTGATCTTGCATCATTCTACAATCCCACCATTTGGTCCAACGCACTAGAGCGTCGTAAGCGTAATTTAAATAACTTAACAAGCACAGCCATGGATCTGCTAGAGGCTGAGCGTGGAGTACATCCCCGGGATTTCACTGCCGGCGAGCTTTATTTGGGTATAGAGGGCATATTGCAGGACTACGGCTTTCACAGATCCTGCTTGCTGCGCAGTGTCTGCGAACTGGCACTGCATCCCTTTGCGGATAATCACAGTTATAGCTATAATCTGATTGTTCAGATCATCAGCTTTTTGCTAACGTAAGTGCACTCCACTACAGAACATTAACATCTGACTGAATACTCTTTCCTACTCATACGATAGGCCTTCGCAGCATGATGGCTTTGGCCCCAATGAAAAGTTATATCAATATCGATATGAACGAGCCGAGAAATTGGGCTTCATGGGCGGTGATTGCCAGCAAGCTTATCCAAAGTGTAAGTTGGATGTGCTCAATATTGTCACCAATCTAGTAGGATGAAATAAAATTACTTTAAATCTATAAATTAATGACTAAGCCACTTAATGGAAATGGGTCATTGTTGATGTGGTTCAGGATTTGGGCTTGTGGTTATATCAAAGTATAATTACCAATTTCTAAAATAGAAGAAGTGGGAATTAGGAAATAAGTTGGGCATTGTTGGAACGTCAATCTTTTCGTTTATTAACTATTGCTTTTAAGATAGAGTATGAAATTCATTCACATAGAATATAGACTAGGCTAATTTTTTTAAAATCAAACTGAAAACAAAAATGTTGAAGACAAGTTTAATACAAAATATATAATAGATTGATTTTGGAATGTAAACAAATAAAGGCAATTTTCAACAAATCTATTCAATTGTAAAAGTTGATTTTAATTGTTAACACATCTGCCAGGCAGAAATAAAAATTTAATTGAAAGTGACCTATAAGATATGTGAGATAAAATTGATCTGTGTATTCAAAAATGTAGAGAAAGCGATTAAATATTTATTGATTGCGGGGCAACTATTGTTCTAACACTGATTTGTGAAGAATATCTATTCTTTTTATATCAAATTTCGCGGTCTGTAATAATCAGAGAGCATGTCATCCTGATCAATAATTGATATTGAGACTTTTGTTTAAATTTTAAGCATTTGTTAATGGATACAGGGTAGATAACTACGTGTTTATAAATTCAATAAAGATACAATAGGCGCCTTAAATAACAAATATTATGCAAGTCTTCAAATTAATTTTATGTTAGTGGATAAGTTTGCTTATGGCACTTAGGAAGTCGACCGGACACTGTCTATAAAGTTGGGCACAATCTGCGCCCATAAAGCCCTGTTGCTCGGCATGCTCATAGATTTCGCGGTAAATAGTTTCGCCTGGTGCAAAGGCCGCATGCAGAGAAGGACTGAAAGTGTATTGTGAGATATGTGACACATGGCTCAAAAATAGATCCGATTACTTACGTTAGAGTAAATGTCAAGAGAGCCGTCAGCATATTCTGTTCCTCATCATGAAACGGATGTCGAGCCAGTTCGCATACACTACGCAGCAGGCAGGTCTCATCGAAGCCATAGCGAATAAGCATATTTTCGATGCTCATATAGAGCTCCCCAGCGGTAAGATCGCTGGGATGCATATTATTCAGATCCACTGGCATATATTTTTGTGTCTCATTGCGCAGCTGACGTTTGTCACGCCGGGCAAACTCATCTGGCCAAATGGCAGCCGCGTAAAAACTGGATGGCTTGCTGGGCATTGCGTAGTTCATTTGCAAGCCCCAGTCCCAAAATAATTTGCGTTGCGGTATTACGATCGGCACTGATAAGGCCGCCGTTACCTGGTACACCGACGAGGCCGGAAAGAATAGAGACATTTTGGCACTGGCCTGGCACAGGTACAGCGCTGCCACCAGACCAAAAATGAAGCGCACACTCTTAAGATACATTTCGTAGTGAAACGAAATGGAACACAAAACGACAACGATAACAACGCACTACCCAGCTGAAGTCCAGACAGACCCGAATCAGATGCTAATGAAACGCACAGACTTTACAGTTTACATCACGTGCTGATTATTCAGTGTATTTAATCATTGTGAAACATGACCTTACTAATAAGTCTCAAGATATCGTGTTTGCAATGCGCATAGAGGTGGCCGCAATCGTTGCCAAGAAATCCATAAAGCTCTGCCTGTTCGTAGGCTAGCTTATAGACATGCTCACTTTCCAGAAAACCATCATGCTGTGTTGGACTGCAAAGAAAAGATATAATATCTATATATAAAGAGGTATCTAGTAGGTATAACTGGGAAGCCCAAACCCACCTCAATATAAACGTCAAAATATCAATTAATATGTGCTGATGCATATCGTCGAACGGATGCTTAGCCAGTTCACAAACGCTGCGCAACAGGCAGGTCTCATGGAATCCATATGAGGTGAATGCATCCTCAATGCTCGCATAAAGCTCGCCAGCTGAGAAATCCTTAGGATGTGTTTGTGTTAATGCATTGTAACCATATTTCGCATACAAGCTTAGTTCATTGTTATCAGTGCGAGGTAGTTCCCGCTTGGTTTGATAGTTTGCAAAACCCGGCCATATGGGTATGCTATAAAATGAGCTCAAGTCGCTGGGCAAGTCGTAAGAAATGGCGAAACACCAATCGATCAGTATTCGACGTTCCGGATAGAACTCAGCAATAGGCACGGAAACAGAGGAGGTGAGCTAACAAAATGAAATTAAATTTTGATAAATCAATGGAAAAGAAAATTCTTCTTAGTGGAATTGACATAAAGTCCTGTATATTGCGTAGCATATGTGATTCGAAGCGTCTTTTATTGCCACCAGGATATCCCGGCCTTGTCCGGGTCTGCTGGTTGCACATTTGCCCACATTCTATCCTGAAATCTACATCTCAGGTTAAGATATTTAAAATATTTTGTCATCTATTGAATTAAGAACCACAATTTGGAATCAACGCTTTCCGCTTGAACCCAAAAAGAAAACTTGTCTTCATAAATTTTTCATCCAAGAGCAATGGATATTGAGATAAGTGTGAAACACGAATTTTCAATAAGTTCAAACTTGAAACCCAGCAAATTGTTTACCCCCATTTTCACCGAGGAGAGGTGAATTTTTAAAAAGTGTGAAAGGCCTCTGACATGAATTTAAGCAGAGATCAAAATGAACCAAAAAACCCGTCTCGCAATTTTTTACAAACACATGAGGTAGTTGCAGTATTAATTTTAACTTCTTAGCTCTTATACGGTCAGACATTCAGTCAGAAGACACAGTTTTATATAGCCAAACTTTTGCTTACCCCCAGGGAGGATGATGCCGGAAATAATAACGTGCTGGAATATTTGCAGCCAATAAGAAAGATTAGTACTTGGTAGGGCAGCCGAGTATGTTCCATATTTCAGACTAAGAGAACTGTGCGGCTTGAATCGGACACCTTTACTGATCAGCCTGTAAATAAAAAATGTTCAAATTGGGTCTCTGGGCTAATGGAATCTAGTTATAAGTACAGTCAATAAATCAAGAAATCAATCAACTCAAAGTAAATATTGAACCAATCTGTTCACAGTAAGTACTTACCCCATATGCAAGTGAAGCTTTGAAATCATTTCGTTCTGTGCGTTTGCTGTGCCTTAAATGCTGCACACTCAGTTCTTTGTACTTTTGGTGCTACTCAGTAGTAGTCATGGGGAGCTGAGACCTCAACAGACTCAACTGAGGTCAGCCTATGAGCGAGTGTTCGGTCGCCGGAAGCGTGCGGTAATCTTTCCGCCTGGCTCATTCTTTAAATTTACTTGCAACTTTAGCAATGGTCTGCTCTCGACCTATCCACGTGGCATCACTTTCCAATTGGAGGAAGCCGTTTATTTTCCCATACCTGGCACTCGAGACGATCTGTATCCAAAGCGTTTCCTGTCAAAGAAAACAACAACACCAAAGCCTCTGACAAGGACAACAGATACGTATGTGTATATACCCGGCACCGACTGGCGTTTTAAGGCGCAGGCATTGCCAAAGCCGAGGCCAAGACCGCATCAGCCTAATCTTCAACCTCCAAAGACCCAACGTATTGATCTCGACGGTAACGCTAATCCTCACAAGTGGCAGCAATGGGCAAAGTATGGAGCAAACCAGGCTCAAATATGGCAAAGCAGTGCGAATAAGCACCGCTCGCAAATGACCAACAAGACCAGATGGGCGAAATGGACTACACCTGCCCCGAAGTGGACAGCCGACTGGACAAGGCAATGGCTCAGACCTAGACCAAACGAAGTTGTCGAATCTCGACATTTTCATGGCCATCGTGACCGAAGACAACTCTTCGAACACTTTAGTGGACTTAGTGCACGGTAATAACATCTAAAGAATATTAATGAGTGGTTCATACCTTAAGATGAAACTCCTTTTCAGCTTTGGAATTGACATAAAGTCCTGTATATTGCGTAGCATATGTGATTCGAAGCGTCTTTTATTGCCACCAGGATATTCCATGCTCCAGGATATGTTGCGTATAGTGTTCACGTAGGTTAATTAAGTGCTGCCAATTTAAACGTGTTTAATGGGTTTCATGCTTATATTTAGGATGCCCCGACTAGATGGACTGGAGGATGATTATACCCGCGTTATGATGAAGGATGCCGATGCCTGTGCTCAGGAGTTGAAGACCAAATGCAATATGAACTTATTGATTTGGCTTTTAAGTGGTAGATTAGACAAAATAAATGCTGTTAATAATTAAAAATTAACTAAAATGTAGTTTTAAAAAATACAAAATATAATATTTTCCTTGAGAAAAGTAGTTTGAAATTTTATTATGACCGAAGCTCAATAAAAGTCAGAAAAATATCCTCTGTGAATCTTTATACAATGCAATGTTGTGTAATTTTTAAAAATATTTATAAATATTCTCCTAAAGCATCAATCTTGTACAGATAGATAGAGATGGAACGAGCTATCTAATTAATAAATACATCCAGAACGGTTTCTCCCAAGCCTGAAAGCCTAAGCCCGTCTGAACTTCATTGGCAAGAACATATATTTAATATGGAGGGCTACCCAATTTGAAAAGCACTTAACATGCAATATACCAAAATTTTAATATTTTTAATGGAAATCTTAAAGAGGATTAACAGGCTCGTAAGTGATTCCTGCACGCTCCTCTACAAATTATATTGATCTATATATCTGGCATTTCGAACCGTTTTTAAGCAAATGAATGTCGTTGACTTTTTTTTTTTTTTGAAATACAAACATCAAATTCCTCACTCAATTTTTTTTTTGTTATTGCTATTTGCTTAAGAATTTACACTCAATCTGAATAGATCATAATCTATTAAGTGTACCTTAAGTGTACTTATTGAATCTACCAGCTATCGTTAGCTTTCTTTTGACATCTCAATCAGTTAATGTCAGTCATGAGATGCAGTCTTTGGATTCAATTGCTCGGGCAACTGGCATTTGCGCTGGTGGTCTTTGGCGAGCGAAACAGAACAGAGTTAAACCATGTTGTGGAACGTGTTTTCTCGCGTCAAAAGCGCTTTGTGTTGTTTCCGAAGGGTTCGAATTTGAAATTTACCGGGTCTATAAGTAAAGGTCTTCTCTCTAGCTTCCCCAAGGGCGTGGCCATGAACATTGAGCAGGCCTGTTACTATCCAGTGCCTTCGAGTCGTGAGGATGTCTATCCGAAACGTTTTCGACCCAGAACAACTACAACTCCAGAACCCAAAACAACCACAGAGCCAACATATGTTTGGATAGCTGGTACCGATTGGCGATATAAGGCAACACCAGTTAAGAAGCCAAAGCCATTAAGGCTTCATCAACGCATAGACTACAGGCCTCAAATGCCTTACTATGCCGATCCGGCAAAGTGGAAGCAATGGTCGAAGTACGGAGAGCGTTTTGAGAATTGGACACCAGCAAGACCATATTATGAGAAATATAAGCAGCCTGGGAAGTGGAGCAAATGGACAACGGCAGCGCGCAATTGGAACAAATATGGCAAGCGTTGGTATAGATCGGTGGAATCGCAACACGTTGAGAGTCCAATAGAAGAAGAGCCTTACGATCCCGAAACAGCACCTTATGAAGCTGTTACCTATCCAGATCTGGAGCACTTCACCGACTGGCAACAATACCATGGACATCGCGATCGTCGGCAGTTGTTCGAGCAATTTGGAGGGTTCCGCAAGCTGTAGGGCATAGGGCTTTTTCAATTTCTGATGCAAAACTATCTTATATATTTTCTCTCTTGCAGTCTTGGTATCGATACCAAAGCGTGTATCCTACGCGCCATCTGCGATAGCAAGCGTTTGCTTCTGCCACCAGGCTACTCCATGTTGCAGGATATAGTCCGTTTGATCTTTACGTAAGTGATTGCTTTCAAAATATAACGGACATCTTATTCAGAACCGATCTTTCATTTAGCCTGCCCACCATTTCAGGCGTGGAAGATGACTACAGTCGTATGATGCGCATGAATGCAGAGGATTGCGACCGACAATTTAGGGATCAGTGTAAATTAAACCTGTTGGGTGTGTTGCTTGATGGCAAGTGGGGTCATTAAATAAAACGACATTGAAACAAAAATTGGTTTCTCTTTATTGTATAAATGGTGCATCCCAGATGGATAGCTTGCACTCGGGATAGAGAGCAGCGCAGTCACCTTTATGGGCATGAGCTTTGTCGTACCGACTATCTCGATAGGCTACGGGCTCATGATCCAACGCCTCTGGTATGGTAAATACCGCACGAAGCAGTTCGCCAGCGAAGCTACCGGGCTCATGCTCATTGGATTTCTGCCCAGTTTCACATAGAGTACGCAGCACGCATTGATGTCCATTGTGACCGCGTCTGAAAAACAGAAATATGAGATAGCATCTCATTTTAAAAGTTGATACGAATAAGTGGAGAATAACCCATTGCAAT